AGCATGACATAATCCTTGGCATTTCCTCCTTTCCGGAAAGGAAAGCCAACAGCCAAAAAAAGCTAAAGGCAAAGTGTTGGCCTATATTGCTTGCTCCAGTGTGGACTTGCCCTAAATATATCCCTACTGCACTCTGTTAACAGTGTGCTTTCTCTGGGAGATGTCTGTATGAGGGGATGGCACAGTGGAACCTGTCCTCTGTTTCCATGGTGCTCTTCCATGCTGCTGAGGGATCCCTCACGGAGGAGAATACATCCCATACCGTGGGAAAAGGCTCTTCCACAGCACGTTTCCTGCCCAGCTTTGCTCCTCCACTGTGTTGAGTGCAGTAATTGGCCTGGGAAGGCTCGTCCCCCGGCAGAGGAGATAGGGATGGTTTAGTGCTGAGATCAGCAGAGGTTTCCACATCCTCCCCCCACATCACATTTGCCAATACAAGGTTGGCTGTGTTCCCTACCAGAGCCTGCATCCTTCTGTGGGGGCTGGGGGATGAGTGACATCCTGAGACACTCAAGTATCTCAACAAACACCTCGTACGATGTTTTTCAGAAATTAAAATCAAGTCTCTGAACACACAAGCATGTTCAGAACAAGTTGATGAGGAGGTCTGAGTGTGCTCCTTGTGTTGCCAGTGTTACCAAAAAAAAGAAAATCAGTTAAAATCAGTTTGGTAGGTCAGCTGCTTATTATCTATGAGTACGTAAGCTTTTTAAAGATATACCCCAAAGTCAGGGGGAAAAAAAACCCAAAAAAATAGCAGTGTAGGAAGTTGTGTAGGCATGACACTATCCCACAGCAGTTTCTTTTCTTGCTAAGATGACTTCCGTCCTTCATGGAATAAATAGACATGAGTGCTCCTTTGGCAGCAGCCCAGGTGGCTTCATTCGTTCTTCTGGGTGAACTTTTTTCTCTTCCCACACTCTTTTAACCTCTTCTCTCCGTTCCATTATCACAATCTCAAATTGCTGTGTGGAAACGCAGAAAAAATTATGGTTGCAGATTCAGTGGAAAGCTTTCTCTTGGCAAAAGCGAACTTTAAGGTAAAGCTACAAACCTTTCTCAGTCTGGAAGTGATTAAGACAACTGCGTTCTTGAGGTGCTCAAAAGCTGTAGCTATTTTGCCCTGTTGGTCGAAACTATGAAGTTTTAAGATGAAATACCTTGAAAATCATCAATGGAAGATTAAAAGTGAAACCTTCTCAGGAACCACCTGAAGGCTTCATCTTTGCTTTCGGGTTTCTTGATGAGTTTTGATGGACTTTTTAGTTAATAGTAAAATAGCAATCACCTATTCCATGTGAAGAGCTGCTCACTACAACGTGCTGCTGTTAGTACAGTCAAGGTCTAAAGAATGTGGTAATTGGAATAGACTGAGATTGGTAAAACTTGTACTTGATTAACACATGGAGTGTTCTGAGCCTTTGTGTATTCAGAATTAGCTTCCTAAACCTGTTCCGCTGCCAGGACTTCTTGTGCCCAGTAACCTTCATGGCAGAGGGGACATGGTGGTGTGAAGAAGGGTCATTAAGCCAACAGTCTCCTGTACAGTTGTGTGATGAATGAACAGCACTTAAGGCAGTGGTGAAGCCCTTGAAATTTAACATTAATGCAACCCAGTGTTTACCTCCAGCGTTACGGTGCATCGTGGCTTTATTTAGGCTTCCCCTGTTTCTAAGGGAGTAAATATATCTTGTATTTATTCTCATGTTCTTATGTAGATCTCTTCCTTTGTGACTGTAGGATGTGATGAAGTGCCCATTCCTTCAGTGCAGCCTCAGCAGCTAAAATTAGCCTTCCAGGACCACAGTCCATAGATATTTCAGGTAACTAATGGTGTGGATCACTTGGAACTTGCAAGCTGAAAGCGGCTGTTTTGTATGGAGATTTTTCATCCAGTAGACAAGGCTGTTAATTGGTTTATTTGATGCCCCAGGAACACAAGGCATGGTCTAGGAGACGAAGGATTGAATTAACTGAAGGCTGATCTACATATATGTCCTTAGGAATGATACCAGCACCAATGGGTATCCCCACACCACATGGAAGAATTAACCAGCCCCGGGGCAGTTTTGTGGGGGATGTTTTTGTCGTGTCCTTTGTTCCTTATTGTGATGGTGCCCCTTTCTGTGCATGAGGACCTGGAAGTTTTCTGCCCTTTTTTTGGCTTCTTACTCCCATGGAGAGGGTAAATACCATGCTGGAGCTGAGAGAGGCTGTTAACGCTGCAGCACCATCCCTGCACAAGACTGAGTGCATTCAGGTTTTGTGGTGCCTTTCCAAGCTAGCAATGCTCCTGTGGGTACTTCCCTGTGTATTAACTTTTATTTTGAAAGTGCTTCCTGACACTGTAGCTTCGTCTCCTGCCAGTCTGGCGGATACCACTTGGATTTACACTCATTTTCAGGGACTGCTCTGTCTCCACTTCTGCCATTAGTGTCAGCGCCGTGGTAAAATGTTGCTCCTCCAAGTTGTCTCCATTTTCCTGTAAGGGCAGTTCATGCATCATTTGCTATAAAGGTTCTGATAGCTCAGCAAATGTTCGAAGACGAATTGATGCTCCTTTGTGGCAAAAGGCCCAGTGCATAATTTTACATTTACTCGGGATAATGTGGCCTTGGATAACCGAGTCCCAGATTTACTGGTGCAGGATAGAGTGTCTGAGGGTTTATCCATCCTCAACCCCCCTTTTTTAAATACTGTCGTTTAATCCTGAAAGGCAGGCAGAGGCATATCTTTGGTTGCAACCAGGCTCTCACTGCCAGCCAGTCTCTGGGTCCTAAACTGAGTCATCAGTCAGAAAGATTAATAACTGCTCTGCTGGATGATTTCACTTGTTGTCATGGCACATATCCATTAATGGAAAACAAATATTCTCTGGAAAATGAAATGCAGATTGTGGTACAGTGGCCAGCCAAGTCCTTTTGGCCAGATGCAAATTTAAAGCATATATTAAGCATCCCTTCAAAGCAAGAACTTCAGGTTGCTTGCTGCATGGCAGTCTTTAATATTAATTTTTCCTTTTCTTTTCTTTTTTTCTAGTATTTCCTTTTATTTCCTCTTAGTGGGGGCTGTTCCCCTGCATCTGGAGCTGCAGTGTGAATTTTCTGCTGATAAAGAGTTGCTGGGAGGATGTTTTCAGCTGAGCTCGTCTTTCCACAGTAATGCCTTTTAAGCATGTGCAGGAGGGTTGAGGGTGTGAAGAAAGAAGTGCAGGCGAGCAGGGCAGGAACGCTTTGCCTTACAGCAGCCTGACATGTTTAAAAAATAAGGAATATCCCTGAGGAGCTTTGGTATGCCAAATGTGTTAGTTAAATTAGTATTGAGTGCTCGTACATGGCAAGCCTTCAGAAGTGGGAGAACGTGGGGCTCCGAGCGCAGCTCCCCTCTCGGAGGCCCCTTTCTGCTCAGGATCTCAAGCAGCGCTCACACCATCTGGTGAAAGCATGGGAAAGGGGGATAGGGATTTTTCCCTTCAATACCCCCTTCCTTCTCTCTGGTAAAGATCCCAAAGTTCACTTTCTGCAGCGGGATTGAGTTCCTGCCGTTCGGTTTGGGAAAGCAGCACCTGTAAACTCCCCTGTCCCAAGGTGCCTGGTGGGCTTTGGGTGGGTTTCTTGAGGCTGGGAGAGCAAAAAGCACGTGGCCACGTGGAGTGGGGCAGCACTGGGGTTTAACCAGCATGGATCTCGTTATGTGTGGCTGACGTTTGCTTGGCTGGGAAGGACGTTGTGTGGCTCGTACGGTTTGCCAGAATAATAACTCAGCAGGGAGTACCTCTGGAACAGAGAGGAGGGGAAAGAGGGGAAAGGAAAGCCTGCAAAGAGCAAGTTACTACCAGACCCTGTTAGAAACAGTCACCAGTTTTGTTGAGAGTCTTACTTTAATCTCAGCATTCTTTGTTATATTACTTTGATCAGGAGGAAGTTATTGTTTCGATCAGGAGGAAGCATATAAATGTTCTTTAAGGAATTTCTGCATGGGGAGGAAAAGAGATACTGATTTAAGAACCCAATCCTTTGTTCTAGGTTTGCTGATACAGATCTGTGTCTGTCTCCCCAATTTTGGGGCAGCAGTAGGTGACTTGGACCCTTTCCAGACATTTAAGTAATTTCTAGTAAGTTGGCTTTTGTCACCACTACCAAGGGTTTATCCAAAAAAGCTTATGGATAAAATGATATCCTTTCTCACATCTGAATGAATCAAGTAAATGTGGCTGTATTTGGTGTTAGAACGGATTTACATTATTTTATTGTACTTAGCAAAATTGGTTTGCATTTTTGGATTTCAGCCAGCATTTTTCAAATAAAAGAAATAGGAATGGAGTTAAACACTTACGACTTCCCTTTCCTCCCAAGGAACATGACTAGAAATAGGTATAACACACTAATTCAGCTTGTGACAGCTTCAAGCTGGTGTGCCTGTGGCATCCACGTTTGTTGTACCTATATATGTGGATGGTATATGGAAGGCTTTAGCATTTATTCTAGGTCTACCTTGAACAGAAGCATTGCATGGGGATTAATTTTTTAAAAATCAATCTCATGCATGTATAATAAATTCCACCCCCTTTCAAACCCACTCATGCACTTGGATTTCTAATGAATAAGCCTGCATATTTATTCATGAAGATTAAAAAACTGTAGAGATAGAGAGGCAGCTGGCTGAACTATTTTTTTTTTATTATTATTATTTTTGTTCTCTAAATCTGCTGACCTGTGATCAGGAGTAAAGAGGAAACCCTCACTGATTAACTTAGCTGGGACAGACAAAATGGCTCAGCGATTTACAGCTTAGGTACAGAACATGGGATGCAGAGAGGGGAGAAAGTGGGACTGAAAATATCCTGTTTATGTTTTAAAAAAATAACACCAACCCCACAAAATGACTTGTTTTCAAGGTACACCTTGCAGAGCCCTCAAACGTGGGGGTCCTGGTTGGCCCCCCCTGCCGTGGCTGTGCCGTGCCCAGACGTGAGCGTTTCCCGCCTCTGTTTCCCGCAGGCCCTGTTGCTGTTGGGTGGTGTTGCTCTCTCCTGCCTGGCTCTGGACCTGCTCTTCCTCCTGTTCTACTCCTTCTGGCTGTGCTGCCGCCATCGGAAGAGCGAGGAGCATCTGAACGCTGACTGCTGCTGCACGGCCTGGTGCGTCATCATCGCAACCCTCGTGTGCAGGTACGTCCGTGCGCCCAGAGTTGGGTGGGGTGGTGCATCCTCTGCATGCCCCTCCACACCTGAACTGCTGTCTGTAGTGAGTGACTGTTGGCAGCCATCCCTCTTTCCCTTTGATGCGTGTGTGTGTGTGTTTTAAAAGTCTGTAATGTGTTTTCTTCCTTTCTGCCACTTGCTGGACTGCCTAATGGTTGGAGCAGTGGGAAAAGGAATAGCTGATGTCCCGCTCTTTGGTACTTTTCAAGTGAGAAATCAAGGACACCCCGTCCTTGGGAGCTTATCACTTGAGTAGGAGGCACATGGTTGAAGTATTTATCAGGTCTAAATGCAGATTTCTTAGAAAAAGAATGTCCAAAAAGAATGGCTGTGTGGGAGAGTAGATTAGGAAGAGACACAGGTGATTCTTTTGCGTTTGGAAGGTTTGGTGGTTGACTGGAGGGAATGTTCAGGTTTTGCAGCCTGTGTGAGACACTGCTGCATTTTGTTATCTGTACTAATATGCCATCTCCAAGGGCACTCCAAGTAATGGTTGAAAGGTCAGAAATGCTTCCTGTTATGACTGAGCAATAGAAGCTTTTGGAGGTGAGATGAAAAAAAGGATTTCTGAAAAAGAAAAATTCAGTAATTAGTGGAGAATGTGTGTAGAAAGAGCTAATAGAGAGAATTTCCTAGAAAACGAATGATGGGGCATCTGAAGGGAGGGACATGTTTGCAGACTTCGGGAAGGAGCCTTGGATCTTGTTTTGACTTGGGCAGAACGAGTACTTGGAGCTCTCTGGATGTGTGTGCCCCACACTGAACACTGCATTTCTTACCAATTCCAAGCAACATCTACTCTTGTCCAAGACTCTGGGTGGTCTTGGTTGCCCCTCTGTGGGTCTGGCAGGTCTGGGAGCAGTCCCTTAGTTAGAGGAGAAAACAAAAAGTCTGGTATTTGACGGTGCCTTGTGGTTCACTTGCTGTGTGAGCCTGCTGATAGGTGGTGGATCTGGGGTGTGATCTGTTTGAAGCCCAGGCTCAGCTGTTCAAGGGCCAGACCGTGCTGCTGAGGCATTTGTGTATTTTCTCTTTCGAGGCACATACTTAAGAGAATAGCAAACCCTTGAAGTACTGGAACAAACACTGCAGAGCAGGCATTGTGTGTTGAGTTTAGCAGCTGGGGATGGATTTACTTGTAGAAGCAGGGGCTCAGGGCTGAGGAGGAGACCTTCTGTACCACCTGCTATTGCTGTGTTTGCAGGGAGCTCTTCCGTGCTCTGCGGGTTGCAAGTAGGTGCCTGGAATGGAAAGGCAAACCACAGAACAACTTGCAAAGAAGAAATCTTAGCCTCGTTCACCTTCCTTTTAGTGAGCTTAAGAGCTTCAGCTGCATCCATTCCAATCCACTGAGAGTGCTGTGGTCCTAACCCTTTCTCACAGAAGCTCTGGCTGATGCTATTTATAGTTGTGCTGCTGCTACAGGCCCTTGTTAGCTATTGTTGTGCAGCAGATGTGACCGAGACAGCTGCTGCAGTGTGGTAGTTGTGTTTGTTTTTAATTGTAGAAAGGGTGACAAGGAGGTGTTCTGCACCTCTCCAGAGCATCTGTGAGACAGCCTGGGTATAAATTCTGATAAACTTGATGGAACTCTGTCAAGTCCACAAGCTGGAAAACTGCTCAGGCTTCCTCAAAATCTGAACCACTGGTGTACCATTTGTTTCTGAAAGTATTATTAAATGCAGAGGTATCCTTAGAACTTAGAATCTACAGTGATATTGGGTGAATATTTGTCTTGACTTTTTTAATTAAGTTCTTAATTTCCTCCCTGAAGTCAGCACACTTGAACAATGAACAGACTGGTACCATCATGGTGAGTGAAGGTGCTGTCCAAGTGCTACTGCAGAGTAGGCTGGTTTTCTGGCCCTCTACAGCAGCTGGATGCCACAGGGCCCTGGAACCAGAGCCTCCTGGCACTCTGTGCGTGGCTGGGAATGCAGATACAGATTCCAACAAGCAGGGGCTCTAATCTGTGCTAGCAGGAAGTCCCAGTTAGATACCAACAGTTAGACTGGTCCACTGGATATATTCTGTCCTAGCTGTGTGTTACACATACCAGAAGTGCCAGACCAGCAGCTGCTGTAGTGGGGTGTAAGGCTGTTCCAAACATCAGCCTGGGAGGCAGTTTGTAGCACTGTTTGCAAGAGGAGTAGCTTGGGTGCTGAAACAACAAGAGGTTCCAACCAGCAGCTGGTCCGCTCTGTCTGAGTACTTTGAAGTGGACTATTGTCTTCCTAGCTGAGAACTAGTTAACTCTGGTTAAGTCCAGCTGTGCCTGTACATGCTTATCTAGGTTGTACTTAATCCCAGGGGGCTGTTTGAACTGTGAATCCTGCTGTATGCTCTGGATCACTGTTTCCTAATATCTCACTGTGCAAAAGGGAGAATGCTGAGCCAGCAGGGAGGCATAACTGGTTAACAGGAGCTCTCCAACAAAACGTCTCTAATGAGTCTTCCCAGTTGCTCCAGCCACAAAGCTGTGGGAATTATTAGCCTACATTATTCCTTGAATACTTAGTTCATTTCTAGTCCTTACCAATTTTGCTTGGTTTCTCTATGTGGGGAGCTGTCTTATAAATCACCTCATCCACCAGTTAGGTGACCCTATCTGTCCCAGGAGGGAGCTCAGCACCAAGGGTGGGAAGAAAGCTTTGTGGAGAGGATGCCTGAAAGAAATGGGTACAAATAAATGGTGAAAACTTGCTTTCTCAAGTGCCAGTAATAGCACTTTCCCTTGGTGCGAAAGTGCAAGGTGGTAATTAGACAGACAAATTAACATTCCTCCTGAGAACGAGAAGTCTAAAAAGGGTTCTTCATAAGAAGTTCCTGTAATTAAAGATGACTTGGTGTAGTTAGATTATTCATTTCTAAGGATGTGATTTGAATGGCTAGTGCTCATCTTTTCAGACTGGTGGCTGGGTACCCAGGGGAGTTTTGGGTATTACAGCAGGAGGATCTCATCACCAGAAGGCACATATGTGCTCTCTGTATCAGATTAATGTGCTGCTGTTCGTGCACATCTTGTGTAAATGCAGAAAACATTCTTTGTTTTTTTGCAGGTCATGTTGCAAGCAAATTCAGATTGACACTTGATTTGCCTTGTCTGGTTCTTTATCAAGGGGTGTCCAAAGCCCACATGATTCTTGCATAGCAGCTCTTGCAAACCAATGGGAAAGCTGCTCTCCAGACTTGAATTTCTGAGTCTTGCTGAAAAGTGATACTGAAGTGTGTGTACAACCTGCAGGCCTTTAAATCACACTGTTGTACCTGTAGGAACACATAGAAATCCTGGCGTGCTGCTCTTCTGTCTCACTTGTATAACTCTTCGAGGAGCTCATAGTGCACTGTCTAGTGGGTTTCTGTGGGTGTGCACTGGTGGTGAGAGTGTTAAGTTCAGAAGTACAATGTTTTCTTAAACAAGTGGGTTTCCTAAAACTTACCAAAATTATTGAGTAGCCAAGTGGTTTTTTAAGTGCAGTACTGAGTAGCAGGAGCAACTTTTTAGATGGCCTGTAAGACCCTGACAGATTGATTTTTAAGATTTTAGTCAAAAATATGAATGAGGAGGAAAGCAAGGTAGTGGAAGTGACAGGAGACTGATAAAGGTAAGTTTGGAAGGAGGAATTGAGGATGGCATAGTACAGATTTGGGAGGAGACAGGTGTGTGTGTACTAAGGAGGGGGGTGTGACAGAAGCAAGATTGGCAGAAATAGAGATGACTTTCCTATAAGAGCTCTGAAAATGTGTTGGAGTATCTTCCAGAGGGTGCTAGGGTGGAAAAGAGCTGTGTCATTCAGGAATGATGTGCTTGTATCCAGGCTGTGTGACAAAAATACAGGCTTCTCCATTGGGTGATGATTTTGTCATCCTGTACTGGGAGATGGGTCTGCTGTGTCTTAGGCTACTGTGCCTCCCGGGGTTCGTGCAAGAAGCCATGTGATTTGTCCTGACCTCAAGGACTTATGCTGTTGGGTTAGGATGAGTTGATCTATTTTTATTTTACAAGAATGCACTTATATAGAAGGAGCCCCTCTGTTTCCCTTTAATCATATAAAAGGTAGTTAAAAACTAGTGTAAATCCTTAAATCTGCTTTAAACAATAGCAACTCATATCAGTGTGTGTGGGCAGGGATTTGAAACAACTGTTGGATTTAGATGAAGCCAAATGCAAACAGAAAACTAAGCAGCAGCAGTTCCCTCACTGCCTGCCCTTCAGCTCTGCTCCCTCCTCAGTCACAGCATGAGTCCAGGCAGCTGCCCCTGGCCTGGCTTCTGGAATGGTTTCAGAGTGATAGAAAAACTCTTATCTGCCACAAAACTGTACAGCCTGCTCCTGGGAGGAGGAATGGCTGTGTAAGTGCCCCTTGCTAGCACAGGGTGTGAATGCAGGGCTGGCTTTTGCTGGGCAGTAATGGAATAATTAATGCTTTATGTGTAGTTTCCAGTGAATGTGTGAGCCGCATGTCTGGAGGAATTTATTACTTGGATTAAATGGCTTTTATTCCAGTTCTTGTTGCTGTAGTGTTTTCTTTCAGGAGTAGTGGCTGTGCCTGGAGGGTTGGGGTGGTGGGAGCTGTGGTTGCTGCAGGGATGGATGGATGGATGGGAAGCCTAGGGAAGGCTGCTGGGTTGGTTCTGCCTCCAAGTCCCTCCTTGCCTGGGGTTGCCAGCTCTTCATAGCTGGTACCTCTGAGTAACCTGACTAAATAACGTACCTCCCTGTGCTGCATCTTTAGGGACAGTCTATCTGCTGCTACTTCAGAGTGCTGGTTCTGAGTCTTTCTCATCAAAACAGTGCTACTGTGCTGGGATTACTGAGAGCCAAGCAGCAAGTTTTGGACCCTTACCAAGTCTTTGCTGAAAGAATAGGCTTCTGGTAGCTGTAACAGGCTGAATAGAAATTGCTCGCTAATTAAAAGGGTCAGATCTGCCTATTCAGTGTCAAGAATGTTCTGGAATTTATTTGGTGTCTGTAGTGGAAACAACTGTTAAAGTTTTCTGCAGCTCAGGAGGATGAAAGAGTCTGTCTCAATTTGTTTGCTCTGAGAAGACAAGGGGAAATTCAAGCCGTGGCTTTGCAATTGCTGCGATGGGATGCTGAGTTGCCTTTATCCTGGGCATAGCTCTGGATCTGTAATCTCTCTAGTTCAGGGGGAGGAGGGTGGTGTCTTTTTTATCCCCTCCACCCCCGTGCATCCTAGGCATGCGTTATCAAGCTCTGATAATAGCTGCAACCAGGGAGGAATGCAGAGGGCTTTTCTCCCTTTAGTTATCGGCACAATTTGCATTAGGAAAATGTTTGAGGAATGGTGCTGGTGAAGAAAGAGGCTCATTTCTTCAATTAATGCTAAATATTTAGAGTTCCATACCTGCTGCCTCTCTTTCTGTATACAATGTAGGCTGCCTCGTGTCCCTAGAAGACTCCTCAGCTGAGGCTTTTATGGGCCAAGCTCTCTATAATTTATGGAGATTCAATTGCTGGAAAAAGCATGAGGCTGACACAGATTTTCCTAGTGGGTCTGCTTCCAGTTCATGAGCTTTCCTTCTGTTTCTTGTTACGTGTGAGGAGAAAGTACAAACATGACCAGGTGAACTGTATTGTTCTGCTCACTCTTTCGAAGTGGATGAGCCCAGGAAAGGAGGGATGGATGCAGGAGAGGAGAGAGAGTTGTTTGGACTGCATATTGATGAACATGCCAGTGCAGGTCTTTGCAAGGGTCTGTTCTGTAGACAAAGCCCACTCTGGCCTGCCTGCTTGGGTTCATTTCCCAGCTGGGTGGTGATGGTGGTGGGGAAAGCCTAATGTCCTTTGGTGACCCTTCCTGTTAAACAAAGGCACTTACTTGTTCTGAAAGCTCTTGTTTGGCTTGTTTCCTTCCTCTTTGATTCCTCCTTCAAACCCACTTTGTAAGGGCAGTGCTATAACCCAAGCACAAAGTTGTTGTGAAGGAACTAAATGTTTCATCCAGAATAACTTCAGATTTACAACAAAACCATCACCACCACCACTTTGCTTTCCACTGCCACAGACACAACCTTGGTGTCTTGAGAACCTTCCTAGAAAAGATGATGGATGCTCCCAAGCTAAAAATGATGTGAGAACAGAAAAACTGTCTTGGTAATGTTTGTTTTCCCTGAGTTTAGTTGTGTGATCCCTTCACAAGTTCTTTCCTCCTCTATTATTAGGAAATATGGGCTTGGGAAGAGGAACTGTGAGTTCCTGCAGTGATATCTTAATAGGAGAGGTATTGCTGACTTGCATGAGATAATCCTCTGGTTGCAACTCATTTACAGGATCTTCCTCCTTTAAGTCAGGCTTAAGCTAATATGGTTTACTTCATAATTGGGCCAGACTGATATGTGTGGACAGTTATGGCAAATCAGCTGATAGGTGGTAATTTGCTAAGCAGCTGGAGTTGAATTGTGTCTGCAAGCTTGAAATTCACTTGCTTTAAAAATAAATAAGCCTTTTGTCCCAGTAAGTTATTAGGCCTCCCTTCCCAGTACTCTAAATCAGTGTGACACAAATGTTTCTAATGGGAAGATAAATCAAGATGATGTTCATAGATACTCCAGAGGGTAGAGAAAAGGGCATGCAAAATGTATCGAAAGGAACCACCACCAACATGGGCAAGCAGTCACAGCCAGCTCTTTTTGTCCTGCTTTAAACAAATGTAACAAAACAATCTTCATTTCATGTCCAGAGAGAGCACGTCTCCTGATACAGCAATGGCAGCTCTCGCAGGAGCCACTGGAGAGCTGCATGGCTGGCTGGATTTTTGGGAGTTCAGATCCAGCCACGGACAACCAGGCAGTTCTCTGACAGATTTGCATTATTTTACCATAAATGAAATATGCATCTTGTGTTCTGCCCTTCATCACAGGGTTGCTTTGAGGACAGTTGGTGGCTGTGAATGTTTACAGGTGTATTTTTCCAGCGGTTGCCGAGGAGCTTGATCACCCCAGGCATCCTTTGGGAAGGCAGTGGCTTCCCTTCCTGTGGAAGTTGCTGCAGCCCCGTGTTACACAACTTGCCTGTTGGCTTTAACTCTCCCCTTTCTTGCTTTCTCTCTCCTCAGTGCCGGGATTGCTGTGGGATTCTATGGGAATGGGGAGACCAGTGACGGCATCCACCGGCTGACGTACTCGCTGCGCCATGCGAACCGCACCGTGGCCGGTGTCCAGGACCGGGTGAGCACCGGCAGGGATGGCAGCAGATATGGGCAGGGTGGGAATGAGCAGGCTTGCTCAGCACCTCTCCTCTCCAGTCTGGCTGCGCCTGTGTCTCTTCCTGTTTTTCGTTCCTATCTGGGCTTAGACATGTGCTAAAATTTCCGTTAATGGCGCGGTGATTTCTTCAGCTCTTCTAAAAATATCAAAGCAAACACAGCTTGTTAAATGAAGTCTTCTCTTTGCTAGGTTTAAAAACAGCTTCTGATCGGCTCTCTTCCACAACAGGAAGAGGAGGCAGGCCAAAGCAGACAAATCTCTTAGTAAAATGTATCATTTTAGTACCCTCAGTTGTTCCTGTGCTACCTCTAATCTCATGGTATTGCACCGCAACCCTGATGGCTGCAAAATGTGGATGTGTGTTAAAGGTTCAGCTAAAGCACCATCACTGGGCTACTTGCAAACAATCTCTCTTACAGATGCTTTTAAGTTGCTTTTGAAGGGTAGGCAGTCTGAGCCTCTTAAAGCAGAGAACTGGTAATCTGGAAGCTGTCCATGACTTGCTAGCAAGAATGACTTCCCTTTAACTTCCTTGACTTCCTGTGCTTCAATTTTTTTCTTTTCTTCTCCCTCCTTTTGCTTTCCTGTGCTCCAGGTGCTGGATACTGCAGTGGCCCTGAACCAAACAGTGGAACCCAACTTACTGGTGCTAGAGGAGATGTTCACGAAGCAGACAGACTACCTGCATGTTGTCCAGAAAGTGCAAAGTCTCTTGGATGATCTGGTCAGGCAAACAACTGAGATCCCCTTTTGGAAGAATGAAGAGGTGTCTCTGGAGGAGCTGGCGATTCAGATTGACCTCTATGACTGGTACAGGTGTGTAACATGCTGTAGTGCAGTGGTTGTAGGGTCTGCTTTGGCCTGTTCTGCAGAAATTGTGTGCACGTTCTGGATGTCTGAGCCAGAGGCTCTATATATCACTGCAGGTGATTCATTTTACAGCAAAACTGAATCCAGTTTAAATCAAAATGCACAACAACTTTTTTTTTCTAAACTGTGTTTACAACCAGCTGAAGAGAAACTTATTCTCAATGTTCAAAATCTGTAGTTTGTGTTCTAGCACACAAACCATGGGGAAAAAAACCATGGTTGTAGAACAGATTAACTAAATAGAGTAGAAAAGTGCAGTCATTCCATAAGTTAACACCGCACCCTAACATTCCTTTTTATTAAACATATTTAAGAAAAGATTGCATCAGCTGTATTCCACAACAGAAAACCTCTATCCACACATGTGGAATAAATAACCAAAGCATTTCCTAACAAATGTCTATGAAGTTCAAGAAGCTTCAGTGCCTTTTCTTCTTTTAATGGTGGCCAGTTGCATATAAGTTCATACTATTGTGTGAACAAGACCAGCAGTCTCATTTCTCAACTACTGTGTATGATGGGTGTGTTGTGTAAATGCTTCTATCTGCTTCAGCTCCAGACCCCACAAATAGCCAGAGGTCTCTGAAGCTTAGTCACTAGTGGAAGCTTAGTCACTTTACTTGAAGAAAACAAGGGCCATGTTTTCCTCATAAATCACACCAGCTTCTTGATCTGTGCTTTTTATACACCAGTTTTCCTTTGCAGACCATGTTTTTGTTTTCTGCAGGTGGCTGGGATACCTGGGCCTGCTCCTGTTTCATGTCCTGATATGTTTGCTGGTGCTCTTTGGGCTCATTAGAAACTCCAGGGCCATTCTTATGGGGTAAGTCCTGACCTGGGGACAGGGCACAGGGAAAGCCAGCTGAATGCAAGTGCCTGCCAGTGTGAACCTCTGGCTATTGTCAGTTGATATCGAGGACATCTGAAACTGAACATTTTAAGTTTGCCTCTCAGAGAGGAGTGACTTTGTAGAGTGTAGCTCTGTGGGCAGGATTAGGGCCACATACAAGAGATGCTCACAGGAAGGTTCTTGAGCTATAAAAGGCAGTGGTCCTGGTGTCCATTGCTTTCTCATCAAAGATGAGGAACTCATCTGCACAGTCTGCTTTTCACTGGGTGGCTTTGGTAGCTTCAGTTTACTGGGAGATAGCAATGTGAATATCCTCCTTTAAAATTACAGGCTTTAAAAATCTCCCTTTAATTCTCTCCAGTTGGGAAGGTGTTTGTTAATTGATGATGAGCATTGCATGTGTCTGCACAACCTGGTAGCATGCCTTCTGTGTCACGATCTGCTCTTGTTTACCTCGGGCTGTCACACCTGGAGAAATGTTAAACTGAGAACAGGCAATGGTTTACAGTTATGAGGAGGAGTCTTGTTGCCATGGTGCTGCGATATTAATGCATGACTATTTCTAAAAGGCACTGAAAATGCCCCATTGCAAGAAAAATCTATTCCCCTCCCCATCTCGTAGCTTGGTGTAGCTTGGCATATTTGGCAAAGATACTGGTACCATAAACACAGTGACAGTTTGACAACTGACATGGGCAAGAGTTTATCCTGGTACGTGGTGATGCCATTAATAATTGGAATGTGTATTCAATTTTATTATTTGCCAGATGATTTCATACCTGGCAGGTTATACAGACAAAAGTCCAAGTGTACACACAGATGGCAAACCCAGGGTTTAAATTAGAATCTCATTCCCTTTTAGCCAGAAGTTCATATTAAGGCATTCCCCAAAGGGAGCACATGGCATAAAGAAGCAAGTGTATCACAGCCAGGCAAGATGGTGAAATGCCAGTTTTAGATCTTTTAGCCAAGCAATCAGTTACTGACCCAGTCATCTTCATTTAAAGTAAAACAACAAATGTGTCTTATTGATTAACATGCTCAGCTGGAGGCACCAAGCTGTGTTGTCCTTATGTCATAAAACCTCAGAACCTTGCTGATCCATGGCTGATAATTTCTGTGTCCATTTGGAAAAGGCATAATAAAGTCTTTAGTGTCTTATTTCAGAGTGCAGCGCAGATGTCAGGCTGGTGAAGCTCCCTTAGTTCTGCAAGATAAGCCACAGATCCATTCACAGAATAAGGATTACTTGGAATTAAAATAAGTTGGTAAACTGAGGGATAGATTTTTTTTTTTAATGGAGGCCCATAAATTTATTCTTTAAAGTTCTAGTGTTCAGTGAGACAAATGTAGCAGAAAAAGGGTATGTCCCTTCCTCACAGAGATGCTTGCACTAGGTTTGAATAAAGAATATCTTGGTTATGAACAGCTTTTTGTATTGTTTAGGGTGTGAGTGGGAAGGAATCTGCTTATGTTTCAAAGCCTGAGGGAAAAAAGCATCCCTAAGAGAGCAAGTCAGTGTCCCTTTACTTTGAAGACAGAGATACATAAAATGAAACTGCTTATTAGTCTGCATCCCTGTACCTGAGGGAGTTGAGGAGCACTATTGCCTGAATATCTCTACCACTCATACTGACAGCCAGGGTGAAGAGCTAATGTGCTGGTTGGGGAAGTGCAAAAGCCTTTTCCACCAGTGTGTGCCTGCTGAATGTCACCACGACCACTGCTCTGTCATCCCTCTGCCTCGTGTCTGCTTGACAGCAGACACTTCCCACTATTTCTGTCGGTAATGAGGTCCAGCTGTCAGAACAAAACTCTAAATCTGTCCGGAGATGGACACACGTGGCAGTGGCAGGGACCTAAACTGCTGCTGTGAACTGTTTGCCTGCAGGTGACTGTCTCTCCTGGAGCTGTGTGGGTTGCTTAGGTGCTGTTCAGGTGCAGCAGCTTGGAACCAAAGTCAGGTGTCCTAACAGGGGCTGAGTGTTTCCTCCCACTGTCTGTAGCCATGCAGTGCTTACACCAAAAAAACCTCATTTATTGTAGACACAGGAGAGATTTGTCCAAATGTGGGTCATCGTGGGTTAGTGAGGTTTTCTTTATATAGAATATCTCTCTTTGATTATCTTTGGACCTGGAAAATAAAGTCCAGAAAGAGAACAGTGAAAGTGATGGGTCATCCACCTCCCAATCTGCCTCCCCTACAACCACCCCAGTGTCTTTGTGCCTTTGGTTTCCCTGCTAGAATCAGGATAATACTTTGCTTCCACACTCTTCCTCTTTCCCCTGCAGCCCCAGGGCAGGCAACCTGGGAACCAACAGCTGGACATGAACTTCTCTGGTTGCTGCTGTCCATGACATTTAAAACAGGAATGTTTATCTGAAGATACAGTTAGTGGTTGATAATTTCATGGGTTTGGTAACTATTTTGGACTCCAAATAATACATCTTGTGAAAGGAACTGCTTGAAATCAGGGCTGCTACATCTGCCATCTGTCTGTCTCCCACAGGGTGTGCTTGCTTGGGGTGTTTGCCCTGATTGTCAGCTGGGGATCCCTGGGCCTGGAGCTGGCTGTCGCTGTGGTAAGTGGCTCTCATCCAAGTCCCATCCGCTCTTTGCTGCAGGTTTAGCAGACACGAGATTAATGTTGTGCTGTGCCTGTTTTTTAGCATATCCTGTTCTGAGTAACTGTCCTGGCAATTTCCATCCAGGAAAAGCACAGAGCTGCTCCTGGGTGTGGCGTGGTAGCTCCTCGTACTCCAGCACTGCTGTGGTTGTGTAAAGCAGTGCTGGTGGGGGTGGCGATGAGAGACCTCAGCATCTGAAACACCCCCGGAACAGAAGGTTCTCTGATGCTAACCTGGCTCAACTGCTCTTTGATACTACTGTGCTTTGATATTCCTTCTCCCTTTTGTCTTCCACGTATCCAGGGCTCCAGTGACTTCTGTATCAACCCTGATGCTTATATCTCCAAAGTGGTTGAAGAGAATGCAGTGCTCAGTCCTGGTAAGTGCTGGGACTGGCCTTGGCACAGGGTTCTGCAGCCCCAGCTGTCACACAGGAGCGTGGCAGTGGCTGAGAATTTGAGGCTGTGTTTGAAACAGAGGAGCTGACATGCAGTGGGAAAACAATATGTGTGGAGCTCTGGAAATAGTGTGTTTTTTTCAAAGAGGTATTTATACCCTGGTCAGAAGTGTCGATGTATGCCTCAGAAAAACCTTCAGAACCTTTCTTCTGCCTTGATCCTTAGGTGAAAATAACTGATAAGATGGAATAACTGAAGTCCCTGCATTATTTTGCATTAAATGTAGCACTCTTGACTCTTGTTCTCCTTTCTAAGTGACAGAACTGTGGCAAGAGCAGTGTGCAGTTTGAGTTGTCATTTTAAAAACTTGCTCTTAGGTTCTATATTCTTGAATCTGGAATTCTTATTTTTATATCTGTTATCAACAAATACACGTAAGCTTTTATCTTAATGGTGGCTACAAATAGTAGCTTCTCTAAAGCTAATTGGAAGAGTAAATTAATGGAAACTGCCACAAAGAAGTATGAATTTCCCTTTCCATTATAAATGCAGTATTTTGACCACTTTGCTTATCCTGTTCCACTTAAAATAATATTACTGCAACACAGTGGCATGCAGCTGAAGCACTGATGGATTTGGGGTTTGTTGTTCCTAATTTAGACTGAAGTGGCTGGTGAGATTAGGGGTGCCTCTAATTTGAACCTCAGGGGGGGCAAAAGTGGCACTCAGAACCATTGCTTAACAAAAAAAGGTGGCTTGGTGCCTGCCAGCAGAGATACTGGCATACTAAAAGGAAAAGTATTTTTAGGACTCACTTAGTTAAGAAAGTTTACTTTTTCCCCTACCTTCTCTCCCCTGATGGTTCCTTTATCTAGTTCTGTGTATGATAAAACACAAATAAGCAATGACACTGATTTGCAAAAGGAGCCACTTGCATTTTTCCTGGTTCTTATTTAGTGGAATCAGAGAATCTTTGCTGTGTGTGTGCAGAAGGTCAAGTGTGTGGCTGGGTATTTAGCCAAATGCTGTCTCTCTCTGTGCATCTGGTAGAAAATTAAGCATGTAACTATGGCTGTGGATGCAGGGATTGGAAACAATAAGAAGCATTTGTGTCTGGAGGCTGAATGTAGAATAAAAGGGTATGTACAGCTTGATATTGCCACCCTACATCTTATTTTTGGCATGCCTTATTTATTGATTTCCTGGGAAGGACATGATAGAGCCAGGCAGCTCTCTTCATAACAAAGAGATGTAGTGAGGGAAGGGAATGAGTGTTTAACACTGCACAAGATGAAAATCCTGTCTTGGCTGTGAAGGTGACAAAGATGTGGCTTCAGGTGCCAAGCTGGTTTCCTGTTTTTTCAAGGGGGCAAATGGGTCAGTGAGGCCAAGGGGAAATATCTGATGCTTGGTGCCAACTGTGGGCTGTGATAATTTGGTAACCCAAATCAGCTCTGGAGCGTGTTTGGTAGCAATCAGGTTGACCCTGGGAAACTGAAGAAAGGCCCCTTTGTGCTCCTTCTCCATTTCAGTTGTCCTTGTCTGCTTGGCTCCCGCAGTTTTCGTTAATGAGGGCCGTTCATTTGGAGGCCAAACGGGACCGACATTCCCTCCTCCCGCTTCCCCGGCACGGACAGGCAGCTCCCCCGGGGGAAATCAGGCTCTGCTCTGGCAGCACCGCCAGCTAGAACAGTTGTTAGGGCTCCATAAATAACAGGGAATGGGGCTGAGCGAAACGGGGAAGAGGAGGAAGAGCAGGTGTTGCCACAGGCTGGAGCTGGAAGGGTGGCCCCTCTGTGGGTGGCTGGTGTGTCAGCTCCCTGCTGTTAGGCAGCCGTTGAGTGTTCGTGAGTGTTCTTCCCTTTTGCCAGAAGGATATCAGTCGAACTCCTCAGCCTGCCATCACACCAGGCAGCTGGTTGGGCGATGATCGAATCCTCTGCCTTTCCCATGTGGGCTTTCACTGCTGTGTCATAGTTTATGATCAGGAAGCTGCAGAAATAGCTTTTGGTCTCCACTGTTGGGACCCTCACGAGGGGGAAGGAGAATCACGACAGGAAGACTGCGGTGTGGCACCGTTCAGTGGCACTTTAATCCCAAGAATGGCTCCTTAGGAAAATCTTGAAAAGTCTGGAATAAGTGTTGGTACCCCTGAATGTGCCTGGCTGTAAATTGTAGCAGCTGGTTTGAGGATCAGTTGAGCCACATACACAACCAGAGTGATGAGCTTGAGGAGACAGGGCAGGCAGCTGGGAGCCAGCATTGATGCTGTCCTCTCAGAGGAAGATGCCCTGTTTGAAGGCTCCTGGTTCCAGTGCATGGGCTCTTTTTACTCTCTGGTTTGCTGTCTCTGCTTTTTGGATGATGTTCTCCAACAGTAACACCTGTATAAACACGTGAGGCAGAAACACTTTGATTGTTCCAGCAAGTTTCACCACAGGGTACCCAACTGTGAATTTTTCAGTTCACAAAAGAAGTGACTAAGAAAAGGGAGTGTGAGTGGGTGGAGGGGCTCTGGTAGATCATGGAAGAAGAATCCATGGGGAGTTAACATATATGTAGGAATCACTTCAACTGAAGTTGGACTGAGAGTCTTGCCAAAGAGGTATCTGCTTTTGGCCAGTGCTGGGATCTCTCATACTGGGCTAGGTGCTGCCATTTGATTTTAAGGATATAAGAACTAACAAGTAATCCTAAGAAGCTTGGTAGTGCTGGGTCAATATTTTGTCTTTAGTCACTGCTTTAATTGTTGTTGTTATTAAATACAATATATTGTAAGATTCCCTATGCTCTGGTATTCAGACTGGGACTGAGTCATCAATATTTGCAGTGGGTTTTTTTGTTGTTGGTGGTTGTAGCTTTCACAGAGAAATAACTGCGTTGAATACTGGGCAACTAGTATGTTAATATTCTTGTTTATGCATTAATTGCTGTTTTCAAATCTAAATGGAATTAATGGAGCTGAGAATAATCTGATTAAGTGCATTATTATTGTCATGTTCTTAGCCAGAGAGGAGATGTTCTCGTTTTGCAGATAAAATGTGCAGCATTAAAACAATGATGGGGAGGGGGAGAAGAAGGAGGCAAAGAACCTTAATGCAGGTTTCCTGGAGAAGGAAATACTTAAATAATTCTGCAGAAGAGGCTGATGTATGTGCCTAACTCACCCTGTATTCATTAACTGAGATAAAGCCAATGGAGTTGAACAGTGGCTGTATAATCGGCTCCTGCTGCTTGTAAAAAGACTTGGTGCAGCCAAGATGTTTATTTTCAAAGCAGGAGGCCATCTTCTAGTCCCATTCTTTTTCACTGATATTATGCTATTATCAGATGACTTATTGTGTAAAATTAAATAAAAAGGCACAATCTGTCTAAACAACAGGAAGAGCTTTCTCCAGATTCTCCTCCCAGAAATCTGCGTGGTGAACAGCCACTCAACTTCATGTGAGGGAACTGTAAACCTCAGGGGGTGGAAAAAGGAGCCTTTTACCTCTGGTCCAGCCAAGCTGGCCAGGTCGGATGCTGAGGCTGAACTGCTCAGATATAAGCAGGGAGTGTTCTGGTCATGCCCAGCCTCCTAACTGGCCCTTTCACTGATTCACTCTCATCTTAGAAGCCCAGACCTGAATGAACCTGAGGACTGACACCACCATCACCACCTCAGTTTCCTCTCTGGAAGTAAGACCAGGACAAAACCTCATGTGGGGCATGTGGTGTCTGCACACTTATCTGAGCTCAGAGAACGCTGCAGAAAAGAGTTTGCCCAAAGAAGCACTCTGGGGAATCCTGCTGAGCTGATGTTGGCATTGGGAAGCTATTTCCTTGTGTGGTTTGTTGGACTCCTGATTAGCAGAAGGCTCTGAGTGGAGGACAAGTGGGGTGGCTACAAGGTCTTTGCTTTCACCAATACAAGAATAGGATATATGAGGGAAATGTAAACGTTATGCAGATACCTCCTTTTGCTGTCAGGCTGGTGCCTTAGGAATACAGAACTCCTAGGAATACAAAGCACATTACCTGGGCAAGAAACTCCAGCCAAAAGAGTCGCCTTCCTTTGACATCACAGGTGATATTCTTCAACTTTCTCTGATTGAACCCACAGGGACAGCCTCCTCTGGGTGTGTATGTAAAATGCAAACTGCCTCGAGAATGCTCAAGTAGAGATGAAGAAGGGCTGGGAAAAGCTGTTCTAGGTGTGGGGATTTTTTTTTTTTTTGAACTAGCATTTTTTTCCTGATTGCTCTCTACAGACCCTCTCGCTGCCTTTTGGCGGGTGCTTAATGCCATTTTTGCATTTTGGCTGGGCTTTGAAGTGAGTGTAGTAAGTCTCCATGGTTGCAGAAGCAGAAAGTAGTTCTAGCAGCTGAAGCTGTCTTTAGTAGCAGCTCTACTTTCCTTTCTAGGAAAAACAGACTTTGCAAAAATAAAGCATTTTAGGTAGTTCCCTTCCTTGCCTTCTGCTCCCGCATTGCCTTTGTACCAGGGTGGGTCAGGAGGATTGTTGCTGGCAACAGCAGGCATGGGCAGCTGCAGATGTGACCCTGCCTAACCCTTCTGCTATAAACTAGATCGCCTAAAGGCCAGCTTCAAAAATCAAATCAACCTTTAGGAATTTTCCTTGAGAGGAAAATGCATCAGGAAGATAATTATAGAGAGAAATTGCTTGGAGCTGTTTTAGCATAGTGCAAGTGATGGGTTAGTGTAGCCATTTTCAGGTCAGAAATGTGAGATTTGGTGATGTACAGGGTAGCCTCCACCAGGCTTAAAATAGGTGAAAGTGCCTCCTGCTCATTGCCTGGTGTTATGAAGGGAGGGGACACTGTCCTTAATTTCCAGGCTTTGCAGCACAAGAGCACTTCAGGGCAGCTTCCCTGCCTATTGTAGCCTGAGCTTTAAAGCACCACAGCTCGTAGCACACTGGGCTCAGTGCAGAGGAAAGCTGCTCCTGATGGCACTGTCATCTTGGGAAGCATGTTTTATGTATGGAATGTCACACTTGTCAGCAGCAAAGCCAGTGCTACCGCAGTGAATCCTTGTTGATCCTGCCTTCCAGGGTGAAGCAAGGCAAGCACTTATTTCACTGTGCTGCCTTTTGCTTCACTTGTAACCAGCAATCTTTATCCTGGGCTTACAAGCTGCAAACTATGATATCAGGAACTCTCATCTCTAATCTGCCCACCAGGGATGATCCAGAAGGCCCTCAAGAAACATTCCTAGGGCTCTGCATTAGCAGTATGTCATGCAACTTACTGCACTTACAAAGGTGACGTAAACTTGATACCACTGTGGGAGCCCAAGAGATACTATTAGTGTTTTGTTGGTTTAAAATAAATTGGTGACGAGATCACGGCTCCTGTGGGTCACCATGTGTGATGCTGTGGGTTGCTGTTGCTGTGCTGTTCTCTAAGTGCAGGTGTGCTTTAATCCATTTTCCCATAGCCACTGAATGTGATTTATGAGCTGGGGAGGAGCAGCCCTTTCCGTGGCTCAGTAGTGGCAGACAGTCTCTTCTGCGGTCAGCCCAAAGTGAGGCACAGAGCAGCTCTTGCTGCCCTCCTATCTGCCCAGAATTTGCTAATTGCTGTTTAGAGGCTCGGCTGGGTCAGTGTAAGTCATCCCGGAGAAGGAGTCGGTGGGAGGGAGATGGAGCAGCTGGCAGAGGCTGCCCCAAAGTAGGCTAATGAATTATAAATAACAGCTGTCAGGTTGCATTGGCAGCGTGCAGGAGCTGACAGTCTGTGTTGTACCACTGGGTCTCCAGCGTGTTGGTTTGCCGAAAGGTGCATTCAATATTTATGGGAAGCACAGCAGAGTCAGGATACGGTCAGGTCTGCTTCCTTCATGGCTCCCCTCACTTCTGGCTGTGCCTTTTGCTGGTTTCTGGGCTGGGACTCATCAGAATAGCTTTGCAGCCTGGAATATGTGTTACTGGAAGTCACAGACAGAAGATTAAAAAGAATGGAGGAAAAGATGATGGTGGAGGGGGAATGCAGAGGGTATGTGTGTTTTGGGGCTTTTGTAGTCTTTACTGAGCCAGCATCACCCTTGATTTTGCTGAGCTGGCACACCCATATTCATCTGAAGAGGAACTGTAAATGTTTGAGAAATAATCTAAAGGTATTTGGATGATCAAGTCTTTCAGAGCTCCCTCCCTTGATATTATTGAGAGTGGCAGGGGAAAGCCTGATATTTGTAATTTGTGTGTGCTGGCAGTTGATGTAGTTTTATAGAGGGCTCATGAGGGCACCGGGCTGGTTTCACACACATCTGAATGAAGAGGAACACAACACTGTCTTCAAGCCTGGAAATAAATGATGCTGCTGGCAGAGCACAGTATCAGTTCTATCTGGAAATATATGAGTATGTCTCCACTGTACTGTAGTTAGATTTATCCTAGACTGATGTCTTGTCTTAAGTTTATGCAGTGGATAGTGCTGACTTCTGAATAAAATTTTTTATGTTTTATTTAACTTTTTAAGTGGAGCAGCCCCATTGCCTTTCACTGGCTTAAAATAAAAGAAAAGGAAACAAATCTTTCTTTTGTCCCCAAAGGCAGTTTACATCCCTTTCTCTAGTGCTATTTACGCACTGTAGTCCTACATGGAGAGAGGGAACTGATTCCATTTATATTGCATTTTCATTTTGTGCATTGCTTTCAGAACTGAACACCCTCCTCGTGGCAGTTGCAAAATACTGCAAAGCTGGAGTGATGTATCTTGCCTGACTTTCTTCTCTTGTGTCTTGATAGATATTCTGCGCTATTACATGACCTGTAGTGCTGGATACCCCAACCCTTTCCAGCAGGTGAGTGTAAGCACCCTAACCCCCTTCACCCCTGGCTCTTGTCATCCTGCAGGGTGTAGGTGAAGTGCTTTTATGCCAGCATGCAGCAAGTTGCAGAGTGTTGGTTTTAGGGAGCACTCCAGCTGTTGGTAAGGCTTTGGTAGCTCCTTCCCAGCTGTGCAGGAGGTGGCACTGTGATTTAGGGAGGAGATTTTTCCAACTTCATCACTACCTGCACATCTTCAGGTCCAGGATGCCCCCTCAGAAGGGCCTGTGTGTGATGTGGTGAGGACTATGGCTTTTGTTGTGGTACCTCTGTTTACAGGGTGCTTGTCTAAGAGCAGCAATGTGGAGACAGAGCACCCACAATTAATGCCAGGGTGGGAAACTGCTGCTTCCTGCTTTGAATCTCTTCTTGAAAGTTCTTTTGGGTTGAACAGTGGCAACACTCCACTCCCAAAATGCAGCCGCTTCTGTGGGTGAAGGAGTGATTTTCACATATGCCTCTTACAAACCTTTCAACATCCAAGGGATTCTTCCTGAAGTATAAATGTGAGTCATTATTCTTTTGTGTGGGGGCTGACAAACAGCACCTGGGCCCATCCCAGACTTGGTCGTTATGTATCACAGGCCAGATGAGCCCACACCACCCACCATTTGGCAGGCCCCAGCTACTTCACCATTTATATTTAGGATTTTTTTGCCTTCCTCTATTTTAAAGGGTGGGGAAAGAACACTCCAGGCTGTGGTGTGATGCACTGTTGCTATCTGTTGCACTCCTTGGTTGCTCCATGTACTCTCTGACATGCTATTGCATGTGAAATTCTCGTGGATGCTTTAATGGGATGTGAAGGCTGCAGCCCTAATACAAACAACCTCTGATGTTAACATTAAATCTTTCTCATCCATCTGATTTAGTAAAAAAAATCCAGCTGTATTCTGTGGTGAGAACTCGAGTGCTTTATGTCTTCTCTTTCTCCTTCCCCTCTGTCCTAGAGCCAGCCCCAGCTGTGTGTACAGTTTGTGTATGTGTTTTGTTCTTTGTTTGTTTTTTGGAGTTTTTTTCTTTCCTTTTGGAAAGTTCCAGTTTGGTAAAACTCAAGCTTAACCCTATCGCAGCTGCACCCTGTCAGCTGAGACAACTTTAACTTGTACCATTCATGCTTCAATATTTGGGAAATAGGATTTCAGTCTTTTTCTAGGGGACCTTTTGGTGCATGTGGCCTGAACTGCTGAAACATTGCATGTTTTGTGTTGAGCAGAAGCTGTCAGGAAGTCACAAGGCTCTGGTAGAAATGCAGGATGATGTTATGGAACTCCTGAGGTCAGCGACCAGAGAGTACCCCAACTCCAAGGTAACTCTCCTCAGGTTTGCTCTCCCTGCTCTTCCTGGCTTCCCTCAACCTTGTACAGAACCCAAGACCAGCTCCTGCTAAGCCATTCCTTTGCAGTAATCAATAGCTTGTTCCTTACAGGAGTATCTTACTCGGATCCAGGAGGTTTTGAATTCAACAGAGATCAACTTGCAGCAGCTGACAGCTCTAGTGGACTGTCGGAGTCTGCATTTGGTGAGTGCTCAGTAACTGGGCTTGAGCTGAGAAAGAACAAAGGGGGTGTATAGCCTATAACCTCCTGATTATTTTGGAGTTTCAAATCTCTAGTGTGCCAGAACAGTTTACAACAGCTTTTTACTGATTGATTCCAGCAGAAAGGGGAATGGGAATTTGGATCAAGTTAGCTTTCTGCTTAAAGATCAATATAGGAAAGTAGATAATAGGCCTTTATACATCTACAAATTGGAGCCATAAGGTTTTAGGGGCCTTCAGCTTTGGTTTGGTTTTTTTTTTTTTGTCTATAGCACATAACTGGTTGCCTTTCCCATGGAGTGCAGTGCCTTGGAGCTGCAGTGTAGCATGGCCTAGCTGTTGTTGCAGCTGTGTCTCTGAAGGCAGATATACATGCTTGTGTTCTTGGGCATGGGACATAGTGAGGGAGCTGAAAGGCTTCATGAAAAAATATGGTATCTTCAGCTGGGTGGATAAGTTTGCCTTGGCTTTTTTTCCCCTCTCTGAAAGTCTTATTGTGTGGGGTTGAAAATATTTCCATGTCTAAATCCAAGCTGGGTTTTGTGAGGGGAAATAAAGCTTAGATCAGTTATGAAAAACACTTAAGGTCCCTGAAATTAAAATAGAAATATGCTATGGAAAAGGGACTGCAATCTCTGTAAGTTGTTTCAGAGGATGTTTCAGATGGAGAAGGGCTTTTGAGTTAGAACTCAATGTTAACTCTGTAGTGATCAGGAAACTCTGCTCCTTTCTCTCTGCAGGATTATGTCCAGGCTTTGACGGGCTTCTGCTATGATGGAGTGGAAGGCCTCATCTACCTGGTTCTCTTCTCCTTTGTCACAGCCCTCATGTTCAGTTCCATTGTCTGCAGCGTCCCACACACTTGGCAGAATAAGAGGTATAGAGAGGGTTTAGATCCTGTGGAATTGTAAAGCTCTTTCCCAGTGAAGACTGGCTGTTGGATTTGTGCCCATGAGCATATGGAGCTCATTCCCATATGATCCCAGGAGTGTGAGGGATGAGGATTTATAAGCACAGGTCTAACAGCAAAAAAAAAATTGTTGCCTTTTGCTCTGGCTGTGGTTAATACTAACATCTGAACCTTATTGCACTGGAATATTCTGTGTGCAGAGTATTCAGTCCACTGTAGGACTATGAGTAAAGTCAGAGATGAATGATTATAGCTGTAATACAGAGGTAATGCTTGAGCTATTGCCATCTCTGTAAAGCTCCTATTCTCTTGCATTGCTTTGAGGCATTTGTTCTAGTATGGGGAGGAGAAATGGAATAAGAAGCAGTTTACACTTGCCTTTTTAGCTGTGCTCAATCTGGGGTGACTTTGCATAGATAATGGAAACCAATTGTTGTTGGCAATGGTATGGGCAGGTGAGACACTTGCAGATTGGAATTAGTATTAATGATGGTAACCAGGCTAATCTGTAAGTCTTTAGCAAACCTTCACTTCACTGACTGGCTGCTGCCCCATGTGCAGCTGTTAAAAGAGCACTGAGTTCTCTGTTCTTGCAGAAAAGCAGCAGACAGCAGCAAATTCTCTTCTGTGGTCCTGAAATGTGATTTTTGTGGTCTAAGCCCAGGCTCAAGGTTCAAAGTAAAATGGAAAGCCCTGGACAATAGCAGGAAGTCAGAGCCAGCCAAGCCTGCAGTGCCCACAGAGAGGTGGCCTTGGAAGTGCGTCAGAGTAGCACTTGAGAAAATGGCTGGTTTCCTCACCTCTTCCACATGCAGCTGCTGCAGAGACCTTACCAAGAAGAGCATGGCAGTCTGCCTGTTTGAAGGAGAAAGGTTTACCCCGTGGCATCTCTCGTGATGCCTTCCCTGTGGGCTGCTGCCCGCCCTGCCAACCCCAGCAGGCTCAGGCTGCTGCTGTGAATTGAAGGGTTCCCTCTTGCATTCCCTGGAGCACCATTTCTCCCTCTGCCTTCCTCTGGGAGGTGGAGAATGTCATGCTTTATTGCCTCTAAGAGACTGTACAGGCTGCAGTTCCCTGATCTTCAGTGCCACCATGTGGTACAGAAGCTGCAGGTGATGTGTGGGATGTTCTAGCGATGCCCATGCTGTAGAACCTTTTACTAGCTTGACAAGCATGGATAGAATATATTTCAAACCTTGGTGCTTTGCCCCATAATTAGGGAGATAAAATAGCACTGAGTATTATATAGGAGAGGCAAGAGAATACTATGGGAGAGGGGGAAGGAACCAACTGGCCAACAGTTCTGCTCTGTATTGAAGTTGATTTAAAATCCTGGCATTTTTGAGAGGATAAAGGCTTTAGACACAAATTTCACAACTTAGTTCTATAAAGACTTCTGTGCTAGAAGCTGAAGCAGACCCTTTTTAACCAGAATGGGAATTCAGGGAAGTCTACAGAGACTTATCCTTAAAAGCTCTTTGGACATGTCTACAAGAAATGGAAGGACAGAGACTGCAGTTTTGAAGGGTGCTTTCTCTGGGGTGCGTGGCACTACATCCCCACCACCTCTTTTTTTGTTCTTTGTTGAGGTTTTTTTAGTGCTGTACGTTTTGGGATGTGTGTCCATCCCTTGTTTGTGTGCCTGGGCAGTTGCAGAACTGTGCTCTCTGCCAAGCCCTGACAGAAGACCACAGGGAGGCTGTAGGGGATCACGCAGTGTACAAGTCCAGATGGGATCTGTGGGAGGTCTGAGTCACTGTGGTGTAGGCTGTGTTTGACACTGCCACCCTGAGGCATCCCAAACGGGTGTGAATGTGGAGGTGTTGGAAGATGGTTGGGAGGTTCCCAGGATTACCATGGTTTCCTGCAAACCCCACATGTGGGGGTAATTGTAGGGTTCTAGGAGGAACTTCTTCTCCTTCTTGCAGAGGCTCAGATGATGATGGGGAAGAAGAATCAGCTGCTCAAGGGAGTAGACAGACACACGATAATCTGTACAGAGTGCACATGCCCAGCCTCTATAGCTGTGGGAGTAGTTATGGCAGTGAGACCAGCATTCCAGCAGCAGCACACACAGTCAGCAATGCTCCCGTCACGGAGTACATGTGAGTATCCCCAAAACAAGCTTGTCCAGATTACTTCGTTCTGATTTCTGTTGTCACAAGTGCTGCGAGGTTGGAACTTCTGAACAAGCAGTAGAAAGCGATGAAGGATTTTGTCCAAAGTGTCAAATGGCAAAATGGCATGTTTTCTGGATGATTGGCATCTACTGGGAGAAGGGAATGGCTTGACAGTGCTGTAGTAGAAAGAGTTTTATCAGACAGCATGCTCCAAAATGTGAACAGCTTTGTCCTCCAGGATTTAGAAATCTGTCAAGAGAAAAGAAGTAGGAAAGTGTTGTCTGAGCTCCTTATTACACAATGAATCTGATCACCAGAAGACTTAATTCTTCAGACAGAGTAGTCTTGCCAGAAGATTTTAAGCCTCCCGAGAGATTGAGAGCCAAGACAAAACCTGTGGGCTATGTCTTCCTCCAGTATTTGCCATCAGCTCTGACAGCTGTTGTGGTTTGGAGCTACCTAGTCCAGGTGGGATCTTCAGACGTTTCTCCAGAACTGCCTAACCCTGATCACACTTGGACTACCATCAGGGCCCATCTTTTTTGGGGCTGCCACATTGTTTTGTTCATCTCCTGAGACTTTGTCCTCATTTTATCTCCATTTCTGCAGCTTGGCAGGTCTGATGCTGCAGGGAGGCAGATTTTCACACAGACCTATTTTTAAATCACTTGACATGATTCAGTGTGGGCCCTTCTGAGTAAGAAGGTAAAAATAGTGCTCTTTCTGAGGAAAATTATAGTTTTGTGCCGTTGTCTGAAAAAGGGGGACCCACCTGGCCTGCAGGAAAAGCTTTGAGGGAGACTGACCTGATATGGTAGTTCTGGGGGTGCGGATGCTCTGTCCCGTGTCACCATGGGAGACCTTCCCCGGAGAAGCATGGCTCATGCCCCCTGTTACCATGTGTGTCTTCCTTTCCTAGGAGCCAGAATGCAAATTTCCAGAACCCCCGTTGCGAGAATACCCCGCTCATTGGCCGGGAGTCCCCACCTCCCTCAGTAAGTCTCTCTTTACTGCTCCTCTCTGCTTCAGCAACTTTGGGGAACACACGTTTGCCACTCCTGTGTACTCCCAGGGGAGCTGATTGTGCAGCCAAACACAGGATCTGGCCCATAAATGGCAGCAACTTGACTAGACAAGCCATGTCTCACCTGCCATGGAGGATGAAACCCTGCTATGCTTCTTTGGCCATTGCACGTAAAAAGAATAAAACCCAATCGATTAGCATTGGTAATCCTATGGGCCCAGTCCTGCCACCACTGAAGTGCATGAGTATCTTGATGGGTGACTTCAGCAGGATGGTTCACTTGCATGCAGTGTACTTGCTATCTGTGGCATTGGTTCCTCAAGTTTAAAAAGAAACTTGTTAAAACTGTAAATTCAGAGTTATTGCTGAACCTCTCTCCTTAATCTGCCCTAAAGAGATGGTAGGATGAAACCTGTATTCTTTTCTTTTTTTTTTTTTTTTTGGTTGAGATTTTTTTTTTTTAAATCCTTCTTTCACAACTGTTTTACTTTCTTTAGAATCTATTTTTGTATTTAATTTCCTATGGAGGAAAAAAAAAAAGGAAACTTTCATGGAAGGTTTTGGTATTTGGAGTGGCCTGATAGCCATTTCTGTATGCTGGATAAAACATGGACTTGCCTTCAGGTCTGTGTAAGAACTAGATGAATCTTGTCCTTTGCTGGATCCTGTAAGCCTTACTTACAGGAGAATTTTGAGAATATGCTATAGCAGCGCTCACAAACTTGGTGGTGTGATTACAGAGGATGAGTAGTAGCATGTCTAATGATCAACCAGTCTTCAGGTATAGGTAAAAAAAATACCCTCTGTGGTGCATGGCTCAAATTCGTGGGAAGGGGAGGAAGAGGAGGCTGGAGGAGTAGGAACTGTGGTGGAAAGAGGACATCACATTCATGGTTTCACTTCAAGAGGACCAGTTCATCTTGCTGTAGAGAAAGTGGCAATGCGGAGAGTTGATCCTTGTCTCTGTCCTTGGCCAAACCTCTTTCACCCTTCACAAAGAGGTTTCCTGACCCCTGGCACTCCGACCGCGAGCTCTGGTGGCATTATCCGCTCTCAGCAACGAGATGGTCCTCGGGAGAAGAGCTGATGTGCTGCACCAGTGCAGTGTGGCACGTGCTGTACCGCTGGTGTTCCCTGTGGCACAAGGGCACTGCCCCCCTGGTACTGCCAAGGCTTGTGTTCCTTCAATATCCTGCTTCCCCTTGCCCTGCAGCTCTTCTGCTTCAGAGAAAGCACACTCCTTTCCACAGGGGCTGTAGTGAGGCAAGACGTTCCCTGGTTCTTCAGTAGCTGTTTGTGTTAATACCCTGAGGGGGGATCTGAGTCCTGGTGCCTTGGGCTGGTTTCTGAGAGGAGATAAAGATATGATTTTTCAGAGTAACTTGACTTGGCAGCCAACAATGTGGGCTATAGGGTAGCACAGGAGCTGGGGAGAAGGAGAGTGCAGCACTGCACCTACAGACAAAGGGGCTTCTCCCTAGACAAGACAGGGAGCAGACTATAAGATAAGTGTGTTTTCTGGAGGGTTGTAGTAGACAGACAGCGGAGAGAAGAAAAATGCTGTCTACTCTCATATTGGCAGGCAACGGGGAAAAGCTTTTCTGGGATTTTTGTATTCACAGCTCTCCATAGCAGGTGGCTGAGACTGTACTGAGACAGAAGAAATTGTAACTTTTCATAGCAAATTGTCTGTGGGAGGAGAGAGTTGAAAAGGGAATACCAGTGCACATGTCCCTGCCTCTTTTTGGGAGGGAGGAGAGGGGATAACCATCCAAGTAGGTTATGTCCAGTGGATGGACAGAGCTGACCTATTCCATTTAGCTTTCTGTGAACAGATGGTGAAAACTGAGATGTGATGATCCTGCTGCATTGTTTGTCCGTTACTTTTCCTGGCTTTTTGTTTGTTTGTTTGTGTTTTTTCCTTCTCTCATTCCTTCTGTTTTCTCCTTCTTGCCACAGGGATATTCCCTTAGGGTTGTAGAGCCCACCTTGTCGCTGACACACACACCACAGCGTTTCACTTGCTTGCACTGTGTTTTTCATGCACGTTGAGGCTGCACTCTCTTTTTCTCTCTCTTTCTTGCGTCATCACAGTTGTATTTGGCTGCCATGGACAGTAGCAGCCATATGAGCTGGCAGCTTAAGCCCTCGGACAGTGCACGGACATACTGGTAACAGCGCCCGCAAATGGAACAGGTACTGGAAAAAAAAGGTCCTTCTTGCTCAACCCCTTCTCCACTCCCAACCACTCCCTTCATCCCTGCACTGTTTATCCCAGGCCAGTGCCTTTTATTTCTTCACATTCCTTCCCTCTGCACCTCCCACCCCATTCCCTCCTGCCAAGGGTTAAAATTAAAATCCATTTTGGCTCTGGTGCAGACTCAAGGAGCAATATCAACCTTCTAGAGGCTTCTGGGGCACGTTATGAAGGTTACAGGCGCCTTGGAAAAGCCACCTCACAGCAGCTTCAACTCAGAGTCCACACTTGAGAACAGCTTGAACTGAGTGCTGCTCAAATGCAGAAACAACCTTGCCCTTCAAATGCAGTATAGAAGTTCTCCCATCACAAGAAGCCATTTTCTAGAAGTAAAGAGAACCAATCTAGCAGCTTTTCAGTCGGGACTGGTTGTCTTAATTCAGCTTTTGGCTTCCCTTGAGCCCTCCTGCTGTTCTGTTTGTCTTGACTGGCCGTAACAGCATGTGCCCAAAACCACCGATACTGACCCGCCACAAGCTTTTAGCTCATTCATAGGATTTTTAATTAATTGAAAGATCCTGGCTGGTATTGGTGGCCTGTCCTGAAGAGTTACTTCATTGCCTGTCAGATCTGTGCGCAGCTTCTCCTTTTATCCTTGCACTGAAAGTCAGAATGCAGCAAGTTTTAAAAATAAAAAAAAAACAACTTCCCTAAAGGACCAGACATAATCACTAAGATCTGTTTCATTCTGTTTCAAAACCTTTTGCTGTTCTGTTTGTTCTGTGTGTGTCCAAATCATCCCATCCATGCCCTACAAGCTCTGTGAGCAGGGCCCTCCTAGAACCATTTCACTGTCTGAATTCCTCATGGGCTGTAGTTGCTGATTTTCTCCAAGATAGCTGGTGTTTCTTCCCTCACAGGGGTCTATGGCAAAGCCACATGCCTACAGAAAAGAGTAGGTGGTCTGCATTTTGTGGGGTTTTAGCTTGGTTATATATAGGGTATAATTAGGGCTACCAGACAACTCACCTGGTGTGAAGGACCGTGCTCCTTCAGGGGAGCTCCAGCCATGCAGTAACGGGAAGGTGTTGGTTCCAGCTGGAACAGAGAGAGTGGCTCATCAGTCAGTGACTATCTTGCATTCTTTTCCCAGAAATACATGTGCATAAAGCTGCTGTTCCTTCTTCTCTGCTGTTCTTGTCGGGACTTTTGTCAGCCTTGCACTGGATTCCTTTCTGTCATGTTGGTGCTTGGTCTGCATCCTTGCTGGCTCTTGCTGTCTGCCTGCCTGCCTTGTGACCTGCTGGGAAGGGGCTCTCCGGATCGGGTGTCTTGATGTCCTCTGCATGAACGCAAACCACCTTGTCTGGAAGCATGGTGCTGCCACCCCTGGGAGGGTCACAGCTTTCTTCACTCTTAAGTCTTGCTAAGACTGCTCTTGGGCCTCAGCTTGTGGTGGGTTTTCTGCTTTTTGGTTCCTGCAGGTGGTATTGTAGTGATGGTAACTGGATCTGTTCCATGAAATAAAATTCTGCTTTGCGGGGGGGAGGTGGGGAAATTCTAGTGCCTTCATTCTGGACTTGAAATCTCTGGGCTGAAACATGACCTGATCCTAGTCTGCACTGTCTTCTGTTTATCTATGCTCCCACCCGAGCTTAATGTGGCTGTCTGCAGGGCTATGCAAAAGCCATTGCATTCTTTCCAAGGCTTTAAAAACAAACAAAACAAACAGAAGCTCTGTTCTTTTGACTTGAAAAACCTAAGTCCCTTTGAATTCAGAACCCACTGGCTGGAATTAGCTGTTTCCCTGCATCTTGTACCTCCCATGCATAATAAGACCAACCCCTGTGTGTTTACTGTGCTCTAGCTATTTGAGATCAACCTTTCAGAACTTGAATCCAGAAGCTTTGGTCTTTATTGGATTACCTGAATAGCTCTGGCAGGAAATCAAAGCCAGGGTAGCTCAAGAGAGATACACGTGGGTTTTTAACCACAAATAGTAAATAGTTTGTACTCAGAGTCATGGTTTCATATGGTAAGTGATCTTTCAGCATAGCTTAGTTAGCTGTGAAGTACTTATGGAGTTCACAGTTCACAGGAGTCAGTGGAATTTATGGCCTCTAAAATGAACTGATTATTCCCTTAAACTATTTTTTTTTTGCCACCAATGATTCCTTTGTACCCAGGCTATATGTGTTAAGCACCCAAATAGTATGTGCTGGCAAACCACACCCATGAAAGTTTATACCCTCAACAAGGCTGAATGTGAAGGAGAGACTTTAATTTTCTTTGGAGAAATACAGAAATAAGCTTGTGTGCAATCAGCTGTGTTTGTCCTAGCTGGCTGGTAAGTGACTGAGAGGTGTGCTGTGTTGAATAGCACAAGCGACCACCAGAAATGGTAACAAGGAGTCTTTCAGGTACTTTTTAGGGAATCTGGCAGTGAGGGGAAGGTATGGGTTGCAACTTGTCCTCTGTGCTGTTTCTGAAAGGGTGAATGAGGGTGTATAGGCACATGGGTACTTCCAGTGAGTGTTGGAAGAATGACTGCATTGTAAATGTTCTTTAACCTTCTATGAAAGCTCCTCTTTAAAGGAAACTAAATGCAACTGTGTACCTTATAGCTGTGTACCTCAGAGTGGAGTCCAAGACCTCCTCAGTCTGAATTGTGCTCAGGCCTTTTGTCTTCAGAATTACTTTTTAAAGGAGCTAAAGGCTTAGTGATTTTTTTGTTTTTTAAAAAGGAACTGAAGACAGAATAATTTTAACTATGGGTAATATAGTTTGGTTACATATCCAAAGATTGGCAAGTGTCTGCTGATACGTCTTCATCTGCTGGCCTGTCCAGATGTTGGGATCTGTGTGTTCCAGAGCATTTTTCCTGAAGGACTTGGAGGAAGGACTACTGTCAATAGCATGTGGAGCAAAGCAGATGGAGGCAAATGCTGTGACTGAAGATCCAGTGCACGCTGATAGAGCTGTGCTGGTTGGGAGGTGCACAGTGAAGTGTTGACTCTCTACTTCCAGGTTTCAATCATATTTATCGTGGTCTTTAAAAATACACTTAACAGAAAGAGTAACTGGTTTAAACTGTAATGGGAAAAGGTACAAAGGTGCAAAAATCCTGAGTTAAGGAGAGAACATCAGCCCTAACTCTGACTACTCAGGCTTGATTTATTCCTTCTGGTGGATTTGCAGGTAGGTTTAAATGTAAAATGCTTGACTGTCCAGATCTCATGTTCCTAATTACTTTGTTTTAGTGACACTTTTAACAACTGTGGGATCTTTTCTTGGAGGAAGGAGGGAATTCTTTTCGACTTCTCCCTCGGTGATAGGTGTACTTTGTACGTCCTTGAAGTGCAATTAATCAAGTGGCCCTTCTTCATTTTAATGCTCTAAAGGAAGCTGATGTTGCATGTTGTGTGCTGAACCTATATGACTTGTCCAGACAGATGCACAATAACCTTCCATAATCAGAGATTTTTTTTTTTTCTAAACACTTCTTACAAAACCCTAGCACCTGGAAAAGTTCTGTGTTCATACTCATCTCCTATCACATATCACCATACAGAATGCAAATGGAAAACGAGCAATCAAACACATTTTCCCTTCTAAGACTTTCCTCTTAACATGATGTTTGGCTGATAATTTCAGCATTTCATTACCTAAAATGTGTCCTACTTGCTCTGTGACAAAGTTCTTTGGCTTCTAAGCCTATCTGAGCCTGTTGGGTTAGTCTCATATGTTTTAATAATGCCCTAAACTTTATTTCTAAAACAGTGATCACATTTAAGAAACTGTATAGAATATAGTCCTTAAAGTGGCTCAGCTTGCTATTTTCTATCTTTTGCCCTCTCACTGACAAAAAATACATCTCAGAAAGAACAGACGTACCCTTTGTCTTCTAAATATAGATGCTGTTTCTGGGCCAGAGTTTTATATTAAGATCCATGTTCTGCAGAAAGTTTTCTAATTATGGAAGACACTAAAAGCTGAGTGTGCAAATAAGCCACAGGTGTCTTCATCTTATGCCGATGGGATCAGCTCTGCCAAAGGAGCAGTTTCTCTCTTCTATTGTGCAGAGGTTCAGCCCGGGTCAGTCTTTGAAGGAAAACCGATAAAATACTGTTAATTCTCTGAAAACCCCTATGGACAGCTGAGCTTTTGAGAGCCTAAAGATGCCTCATAATGTTCTTTCCCAGTGGGCAAGATAAATCATACCTCCTGGTGTGGAACTGCCTTTCAGTTGTCTCTTTGCCAGCTTAACTGGCTATTTTATGTGGTTCAGTTTAAAAGGTGATAAAAAGTCAGTATGCTGAAGAGCACTCTTGGGAAGTAAGCTGTGGATATTATAGAATTATTCAAGCTCCAGCAGGTATAAAAAGAGGAATGAAATGTCTGTCCTCATTGCTTGGTTGTTCATATCATGGTAGCACAACCCCAGAAGCAGTAATGTGGTCACGATGAAGACACTGAACACATTGGCATAAAGAGGCAAAGTCTTTTGTTCCTACTGCTGGATATTATTTACATTCTTTTCAGCTCATTATTCAAAGCTGAATGACATATGTTACCTCAGTAGCTTCTGGGAGCTGTTTTAGATTACCTTGCTTAAAATAAAAAAAAAATAAGAACACCACCCCCCCAAATCGAAACAGCCTCTCATCTTTCTGACCTGCTCTTCTCACCCCCATGCTGGAGTCTTGTCTGCTGCTGCACAGTGCACAGGTTGGATCCCAAGCCACAGTGGGCTGTTACCCATCGGATAACTTAGCTAATATCATCCTGTTTGATGGCAGCCTGTTTCCAGACGGGCAGGGTCTGTTCTTTCTTGGCCAGAAATGTAGAGATTTGTTCTTCCACGTTTTCCTTTCAAGCTGCCCATCTGTGGCACGAGCAGTCTTCTGATGCCCTCACTGCCAGAAAGTGCAGTGTGAATATGCAGTGAGCACCCATTTTCTTTTCAACCTCCTTTTCTGGCACGGTTGAAAGCAGTAACAAGACTAAGAGAGGATGAAGGTGTGAGGTGGGTTTTTACATCTGCATCATTCCCATTTCCCTCTCTTCTCCCAAGTGACCTATGTCATATTTTGACTTAGTGACTATTGGATTTCCTTTTCTGTAGAGAGCTTGGATAAATCATTAGCCCACCTGTACTGACCTGGCCAGCACCATCCTCACAGCAGACTGGCAGGTTGTTACTCAGAGGGGACTATACAGTGACTTGTGAAACTTTCCTTGTAAGACTGAGCCAGCAGCTCCTTGGTATGCTTGCTGTGATTAACGACCATTTTATACTGTGAGGTGATAGAAAACTGTGGTTCTGTCTTTACATTATTCATTCTGACTTACCTTTCTGTCTGTTTATTTTGTTTTTTCTGTCTTGTCTTCCTCCAGTACACCTCCAGCATGAGAGCCAAATACCTCGCCACCAACCAACCTCGTCCAGATGCTGGCAGTGTGCATTAAAATGAAAAAGCAAAAAAACAAAACAGAACAAAACCCACACGTGCAGTCAGACTAAACAATGTGCCAACTGCTGTGCCCCTGTGCTGTCCTCGTAGAACAATCCTGCTGTTCTGCCCAAAATCCAGTGCAGCTCCTTCTGTTTCTCCAGTCCAGACCACCCCTCCAACCTGGTACCTGCCCACTGGAGTTGGAAGCTCCTTTTGAAATTAAACCTTCACCTTGTTGTACCTGATGTGAAAGAGGAAATATGTGCAGGCAAGCAACTGAGAGCACCTGGGCAGGAAACTGGGTCCACCAGCCCGTGGGCCAGCTGACTAGAGCAGCCTGTCAGAAAAAGTTGGTGAATACCTTCTGCCCCCTTTTTCCCCCCCTTCTGTTCCCAGAGGGACTTGGTGAAAGATGGTGGTAGATCTCCTTCACTTCTGCAGTGGGATCAGCAGTCTGTCAAACCCTGAAGAAGCAGAGGCTCGGTGCCTGGGACCAGTGTACAACAAGGGAATGCTGAGTCAGTGGGACCCAGCATCCCACAGCATCTCAGTGGGAGTCCTGGTCCACTGCCCTGTGGGAGGGAGGAGGGAAACTCCTGCCTCATGGTGTCACTGCATATCCACTGGAATTTGCTCTTCCAGAGCAAACCATTTCACTACCCTGGTTAACTCTTCTTTTTTTAAGTCCATTAAGAAAATGCCTTTGTCTTTGCCACTATATCTATCATGTGAATTCTTGAGGAGGAGCAGGGGGCCCAGCACCAGTCAGCTACCCTGTCCATTGCTCTGAACCTGACCTCTCTGCTCCATCAGGGAAGCTCAGGTACTTGCAGATGGCATTCTGGGTGCTGCCTTTACGAGGCTGACACGCAGATCAAACAGGAGCCAGCCACTCGGTGCCAAATTTTTCCAGGCAGAGACTCATAAGACTTTATGGGGGACATTTCTGCACTAAAGAGTTTCGACTCTCTGATGGTAAATCTTACAGGACAGTCAGCTTGGAAAAGCAAGAGGAACTGGAAGCACCAACGGATTCATAGCAAATGGAAGCTTTCCCCGCAGGAGTGACCTGTGAACTCTGCTGGACTTTTCCTTTTTTATAAATCATAATTTACAGCACAGGGTTGCTGAACTGGCATTGAAGGAGGTTTTTGGAGCCTCAGTCCTAACAAACTCACAAGATCATCGGTGTATCTTCTGTGTTTTAGATCAGAAACCCAGTTGACGTCTGGAGAACATTGTGACTGTCAGAACAGGTTTATATTTTATTCTGGTTTATTTTGTTTAGTTTTTCAAGGCACATTGCTAACCACTATCTGACCATACTAATGCACATGTAAGGCATTTTCTAGACACGAGGCAGAACAAGGCTTGCAAAGGGGCAGCTGGGTGCCTGCAGAGGGCAACATCCTTCATTGGTGCTGTACTTCCCACTGAAGAGCAGTGCTCCAAAGGGCACTGACAGCTTCCTGCTGGAAGAGGAGACTGCCTCTTGGGAGGTACTGTCGAGTACTGCCCTTTCAGTAGGGTAACTATGATGTTCTTTTTTGTCTTTTTACCTCTTAGTAGGGGCATCTTAGCGTAGCTGCTGGGCATTATATTAAATAACTGGCAGAGAAAATAAAATGGGAAACATCTCTCAAACTGGAGTTGAGCCATTGGCAGAGGCAGTTAGTTTTCACCTCAGTGATGTTCAGACTGGCTGTCTGTTTACCCCATGTTTGCTGTTTGGGGCACAGAATCTACCAATCTGCCTTTACTCAAGTCAGTTGCCTTCTTGCAGTGAGGTAGGAATTGCTCCTAGCAGGCAGCTAACTAGGCTGATGGTATCTGCTGTGAAATGGTACCAGCTCTGTGGCAGAGCAAGCTCTGAGACTCTTCTTAAGATAGAAACCACTAATTAACTGCAAAAGCTGTAGGCCAGCTGTTACCATGCAAAGGAGTGAGGGAGACAGGGAGGAGGCACCACCATGCAGACAGGAAGAGAAGGTTTTTGGAGAAAACTTCACACTTCACCATAAATCTCTGGAAGCAGGATTTTCTTGCTCAGGACCGAGTATGCCCTTTCAGACACACTGGATGGGCTTCACACTGAAACATACCTCTGTTTTATCAAATAACAAGGGCAGGGAAATGTGTAGTCACAGGTGGTATGGAGGGGCACTGTGGCTCATGAGCACCAGGTTTTCCACCCTGTCTTAGAGCCTACCAGGAGACCCGGGTGTGCGTGTGTGGTTTGGTGAGCTTGCAGCCCCAACCACCCAACTGCTATCTGAAGGGAACCCAACCTTTCCCTCACTTTGAAAAAAAGAAGTAAGAGCCATATAATCCTTATTAAAAGTGAGTTGTTCTGCCATCATCCTCCTTGCAAGGATGTGCTCCGATCGCTGCTCACACTGTCAGTTTTAGGGGAGCTGCCTCGCAATCTGTGGCCTGGTCCTACTCATTTGAGGGCAAGTGTTTTGAAGGCTGGAGGGTGTGGGGAACCCTGTGAAAACAAGTGCTTCTGTATACTGACTTCTCTGTGTACAGAATGCACCCTGAACATGTGTGTGGCTGCACTTGGGGTTGGGTCTGACTTGTCACAGTGGCACTGGCTGTGCCAGGCGATAACGGGGAGCGAGCCAATGCCTTTTGGATCGCAGAACAGAGCAGCCACCTTGACCTGCTTCCTTCCAAGGTTTGGCACAACACCCAGAACAACTTCTGACAGTGTTTGGGGCTTGCAGCAAGGCACAGCTGTGGAGACATGTGCTCTGTGACTTCAACATGTAACTGGAAAGAACGTTGCGGAGATGAGGTTTTCTCTCTGGAGGCCAGCACGATGGGACTGCGGTGTGAGCTGTGTACCTGTGTCCAGCCAGCACTTCCTTTACTTGACATGGATATTGCACTTTTGTAAAGCATCCTGGAACTCTGCTGCCCCGCTGCATGCTGTGCAGAGCGCTGGATAGGAAACACAGACAAATGCGTTTCTTTTGGTTTATTATTATTGTTATTACTACTACTTTTTCTTTTTTTTTTTTTTTTTTCCCCTTTTTTCATTTTACTGGAACCTTGAGCAACAGCGTGGCATTTCTGCAGGCTGGTCTGAACGGATCTGCTGAAGAACAGATGGCCTTTGCCTATTCTTATGGCTGCGACATAATCAGTCTCATCCATATGGTCACATTCTGTCTGAGGAGTGGACTTTGAAAAGCCAAGATCTCCCAGACTCTGTGCCTCCCTCTCGGGTGAACAGCAGGTGCTATCTGGCGAAGACTCATCTGTTCTGGATGGCATTCATGGTTGAGGGAGTCCAGACTCTTCAAGCTGCAGGAGGTAAAGCTGTGGAGACTTCTCTCTCTTTCCATCGTGTCTCTCTGTTGTTAATGTGACAAAATGCCAAGGCCATATCACTTGGTGTGTCCCAGCTGACCTTACTGGACATTTCTCATGGGACTGGTTGCGAGCAAAAGGGTCCAGAAGTCAGGGGAGCTGAGATTGGCCTCTGGACACCTCTCTGACTGCAGAACGGAAGGTGGAGGGTGACTGCATCGGTGAAGACACTTCATGTTACTTTTTCAGAAGCACAAATGTGGTCATTGGCTTGTCTGGTTGGCTTGGTTTATTTCCACTGCATCATCATGTGTGAATGACACTTTCTTTTGGAACTGAGAACTCTTCCAAGCACACAAACATCTCCACAATGTGAAATGTAAATAGCATGTTGGACTCTTGTGTCCAGTGTTCAAGACTGCATTGTAATTGTAAAGGAAATCAAATCAAGACTTGGCTGTGAATTTCTTGTGCTGTCTTGGGAATTATAACTGTAGTGTTTGTATCCTGTATGTATTATTAAATTGAGTTCATTTTGTGTGCTGATAAAAGGGTTCAAGCTAAGATTTTTAGCGTGCATCCGTGTATCCAAATGTGAAGGATGGAGTGCTCCCTTCCCCTCCTGTCCTTTTAATTTTCTCCATTTGATAGGTGTTGATTTTCCGTGTACAGTCATCTCAGCCAAGATGCAAGGGATGTTCATTTGAGTGCTTTGAGGGGGACACAGTGCGTGGGGTTTCAAGTGATCCTAACTTAGGATTTCCATAGCAGTTCCCTGAAACTACGTGAAAAGTTTGGCCTTTCTGAGAGTTGAACCCTTCCTCAGGGAGCTCTGGAGAGCTTTTGGTGCTGCAGGGTGGCAGCAGGCAGGAGTGGGTGGGTGCCCGTCAGAGCAAGGTCCAGGTACCTGCGTGAATAAACCCAGGCTTTGCTTCTGGTGCCACCTTCTCTTCCTTCCAGCAGCAGCTGAAATGCCATGCTGAACCCTTTGAAGAAGAGAGAGGTGTCTTGGCTTGTTGATGCTCACCACCCCACCTGATTCAGGAGGAGATGAGGCGGATGGGTTTTCCTTTAGCTCAGAAGAGGAGCTGTCTTTGAAGTACTTCCTACCTGGGGACCGAGGAGAAGCCAGGGTCTTCCCCAGCTCAACAAGTCTGTTGGTGTAACAGTGAACATCTCTGGGTGGGAGGGGAAAAGCCCTCCAGGGAGATACCAAGGAGTAGAGCTAATGCCTTGAGAAAGAGGCCTGACAAGACTCAATCTGTACCTCCTTTCATCAGCCTACTCCCGTTTTCCAGAAATTATTTGTGTGCATGCTAAGGGTGGCTTCCCTAGTCATTCCAGGAGGACGAACAGAAGCGTGGGATGCTTTGGTAGCAGTTCCTAGATGGCTGACAAGTGATTTGTGCTTTCAGGGGGGTGTGGGATCTCCTGCCAAGCCGTGATGGTGAGCGTGTTGCCCAGCTGGGAGAGAAGGGATGGGTTAGTGGTGGCCTGGAGCTCCCGGGTGCTCACCCAGCCCCTGTGGCTGCATGAACAAAGTGGAACATAAATTGACATACAACCAGAAAGTTCAAAATACTCCTTTCCTAACGAGGATAACTGTAGCATGAAGCTCTTAGGTGCTCTGCATATTTGATACCACATTGCTCCTCACTATGCAATTCCCAACTCCTTCCTTCCCGTTCCTCCTCTAATCTCACCCCAAGACTGCTCCAGTGGCCTCTGCCCAGGAGGCTGCTGAATTCCCAGGAAAGCTTCATTCCTTTCGTTGTGCTCTGCTTTGGGTCCAGCTGCCCAGCCGTCACGTCGTGTGCCTCAGGTCCCTTGGTAACGGGAGGCTCCATGACCTTTATTCACATCATTCAGAGGGAAGTTTATTTTCTTGGACACTGTGCACAGAAACCTAATGGTGAACATGTACCTGGCCTTTTTGTAACTTCTCTGGTTTTTTTTTTCTTTCTTTTTTTTTTTTCTCTTCTTAACCATAATGGTTGTATATCATACCACTTTATATACATATATAATATATAAATATATATAATTTTTTTTTTTAAAACTTTGGACCTGCTAGTTTCTTTCAAGTGTTCCTGCACTTACCCAAAATGTTTTTAAATTGTGAGGATTAAAGAGGATTGAGCCCATTTTTGTATCTTTACTTTTAATTCTGTAGTTCTATTGATTGTAACGTAGCTATTTTTTACTGTAACTTTTTGGTTTGCAAATACTAAACAAAAAAACCTAAATGTAATTTCTGTGGTTTCTATTCAGCTTGGGTTTCATGTTTTAAAAATAAACGATTTAAAACCACTGTTCCTAGTTATCAATTTGTATTTACTCCTGGAGGGGGGCGTGGAGCCAGGCTGGTACTGGGGACCTCCAGGGCTGCAGGAAATGCAGCAGCAAGTGCTGGAGCAGCTGGGGGATGTGCACATCAGCCTGGGGAGATGTTCTCCCTGTGCACAGGGTGTTTGAACCTCCTTTGCTGCCTTGGTGATCCCACACTGGAGCAGCAAGAAAAGGGAGTGGTTTATTTTCACCAGCAGAAGTACAAGAAGTGTGGAAAAATGGTGTGGGAGGGTGCACCCCCAGCTCAGCTACAGCAAAGGTGTCCCTCTTCAGGAGGTGATGAAATGGAGGTACAAGCCTTTGGTAGCATCCAGGGGAGCTGGGGGAGCTGGTGCAGCTCAGCGTGGGCTCATCTTTCTCAGTGCTGCCCCCAGGCTATCGTGGGTTTCTTTTTAGCTCTTCCTTTGTACTGTTCTCTGATCACAGGCCTGCTGCTGCATCGCTGTCAAATAGTAAACTGAAACCTTCACCTTCCTGTAATTTTCTTGATCTGTTTTCTGCCTGATCCTGCCAGTCAAATGGAGGGATTGGGCTCCTGCCTCCATCCTGTGCTGTTCTTGCCCTAACCTAAGCCCATCCCTTCCTAGCTGTGGGGATAAGCAATAGTTTAACTCTGTCTTTGTAAATGCCATATATTTTCTTAATACTGTGAGTGTGGCTGAAACCCACACCTGTGCTCTTGAGTCCTGTCTGTCAGTCCAGTGCAGAACTACAGAGGACTCCTTGTTGTGACTTTCCCCCTCATGCCTGTGAATCTCAACAGACACCAGTTTTCCTCCCTTCACCAATAAATAATTGACAGATTTGTCTCCCCCCTTTTTTTTTAGCCCCATCTAAAGGAGAAACCCGTGTTTTCCGTCTTCATCCCTGATCTGAGATGATTAAACCTACTCTCTAAAACTCTAAAAGGGTTTGGAGCAGTCAAGGGAGTCTGATGGTGGGAAGGAAAATAAAGCCTCTGTCAGAGTCATCGTGTAAATATTTTACCAGGTTTATGGGCTCCACCAGGGATGGGAACCTGCAAAGGCCCCCTGCCCAGTGACCTCTCCCGGTGCTTTCCAGCCAAGCTGCTCACCCTCTGCACCACTCCCTGTCCCAGCGGGAGCAGGGCAGGGCTCTCTCCTGAGCCCTTCAGAGAAAACAGGATAAAACAGAGGGAAGGGTGAAGAATGTGTTTGAATAAACCTTGCCTTCAGATCAACCCTCAGTAGTGGTCCCTCAGATCTCTGTCCTCCGAGATAAGGCAGGGAGGGATGCCCCGGGGAGATGCTTTCAAGCGTGTTTGCTCTGCGGTGTGCTGAGCTGTGCTAACAGGAGCGCTGCCTCTGGGAGCTGTTGGTGGATTGGCGGCTGGAAAACCATCGGGCAGAGCTGGTGGCTGCTGGGACACAGTTACTGACTGTGTGCCCCCATCTCCTGTCACATCCTGGGGTGGCAAATGGCCCAAGTTACAAGTAATGCTTTCTGCCAAGCACGGTGCTGTGCAGGTGGCATCTGCCCAACTCCTTCCACCTGAGAGCTGGATTCATGGTTCTCCTTCAGGATGCTCCAACAGGGACTTGCACTCCCCATGTGTCCAGGAAGGCAACAGGCAGCTGAAATTGCAGCTCATCTTCTCTAACCCCTTCTGAAGCACCCTTGGCCCTGAGTAAACACCCCATCTCCCCAACCTTCTCTGCAGTGCTTTCAGGAGGTGGCAACGTCTCCCTGCACTGCGAGGGAGGCCAGGACAGAGCTGAGTGTCCGCCAGCCCTGGAAAGGAAACCCTGAACGAGGAGACTCCGATCGGTCTGACCACGTGGGGATGCTGGAGCCCTGCGCTTGGAAGTCGGGAGGGTTTGTAGCGGAGGCAGCCACAGGGATGCTCCTCCTCACCCCGTGTCTGCAGCCCAGCCTGGACCAGTTTGGTGGGTCCCAGCACCCCGGGACATCCCGGCTCGTTTGCCCTCACCCGCTGGGGTGACCAGGCAGGGCCGGAGGGTGGCCTGGCTGTGGCCACAGTGATGAAGCAGCTGGTCACACATCAGTGCCCTTGTGCGTGGTGGAGAGGGGATGGATGGTGACAGGGCCAGAAGGACTTTTCCTCCTGCACCTGATGTCTCCGTTGCTGCCAGCGGGACCGCAGGGCCCTTTGCCTCGGCTCTGCCGGCAAGGAAGGCTTTGCTTAGAGCAGGCCGTGTTTTCTCACCATGACCTCAGCAAAAATCCCAGCTCAGGGATTTTTTGAATCCCTCCCAGTCCTTGGAGGGAAGTGGGAGGAAGCACAGTTCCCTTCTCACTGCGAGGTGTTGCAGATGCTAGTGCTTCTCCCGCCCGCTTCCTCTTCCCACCAGCCAAACATCACGGAACCTGGCGCTTGCACCCCATAAATCACCCGGCCACTCACGATCTGTTCCAAACACGTCAGCTCTGGGGCCTGGGGATGGGTTGCTCAACAGGGAGCGAGCATGGCCCCCTGCTCCCTAGGGCTGTCAAGCTCAACAGCCCATCCTGTGTCCCCCTAAATAAGGGGGGAGGGCTCACCAGGATGATGTGGACGTGGCTGGGGCATCATCCAGTGACACTGCTTTGCTGTGTGATGTCACTGGTTCTTTCAGGTCCCTGTCCTCAGCAGGGAGAGGCACAAACCTGACACTGTTTCCCTGATGAAACCACCCTGGTTTGAGGGGGAATGGAGGGGGGACACACCCTCTGAGGAGGAGGAAGGAGGGGTTGGGAGAGGGGCTGTGCGGTGAAGCCACAGCTTCACGGATCTCATCTGGCAGAGCCGTGGGAAGCGTTTCCAGCTGTTTTTAAGATGGTCCCATTATCTCCTCCTCCACTCTTTGCTTGCCAAATGGCTACAGGAGCGGAGATGGCCCCATTGGGCAGCTGAGGGAGCTCCAAGGCTGGGGGAATTCATTTTGACAGATTCAAGGCTGGTCTTAAAAGTCAGGAAGAGAAAAAATAAACTTTGTGGGGCTTGGGGGGGTATTTATTTTAACCACCTGCGTGTTATGCAGGGGTGGGAAATAGTAGAAAGTCAAAAAAAATAAAGGGGGTATGGGTGATGGCTGGGAGCTGCTTCTGAGGGGCTGCCCTGCACACCCCAACAGTGCATCTTGGCCATCCTGCATCCATCACTCTCTGCCACAGGGCTTTGCAGCCCCTCACTCCAAGATAGACAATGCTGGTGGTGGATTTAGTCACCTCCAGCTGCACAGAGGTGGTGGGATGTAGATCATCAGCCCACGGGGTCCCAGCACTCTCCCATCCTGCACTGGGACAGGCAACTCCCAAAGCTGGAGCACTGCACGCACTGCTCAGGCCCCGCCATTCGGATGCTTTCATGTTCGTTTCCCACAAATATTCCAGTTTGCTGGGCCAAAGCAGCTGGAAGTGGCTCTTGGAGCTGATTCACACAAGTTTTGTTGTCTCCCAACACTGCCCTCCCGCCCCAAGTCTCAAGCCTTTCTCGCCGCCGTCAGTGCCAGGGTGGGTGTTGGTTCCGCCGCCGCACACACTCCCCACTGAGAGTCCCCACAGCCGGGCTGGGAACGCAGTGATTCACATGAAGTCCAGGACTGCAAGTGACCCAAATGCAAATTAAACCAAAAAAAAAAAAAAAAAGAGGAGATGGGAAGCAACAGAAAGGACTAAACCAGTGTGTTACTCTCTGCCCTCGATGTTGCAACCACCCAGGGATGGGGAAAGCCTTTGGCCAGGCACCGTGCTGGAGCATCCCTTGGGCACGGTGGTGTCAACAGCAGTGGTCCCTACATAGCAGCAGTGTCCCCAGCAAGCTGGGCTTGTCCCCACCCCACCACCACACACACCAGACTCTCCAAAAGGTACAGCCGCCTTATCAGCTGCTGCGAGCGGGGGAGAGTAAACAGGACGTCCCACAACAGCGCCGGGGTGCAGATGAAAGCAGGCTGGCCTGTGGAGCTGCCAAGTATGCGAGAGCAGCAGGCTTTGCTTTTGTTTTCCTTTTGTTTATTATTGCGTGTATTTATTTACTTTTCGGCCCACGAGCAGGGAAGGGAGGAGGGAGAGGCTGGGAGCCTGGTGGGAGACAAACTGGAGGGCTGGTGAGCTGCCTGCCCCTGCTCCTGAAGGCTCAATGGGGTATTTTTATTGTATTGTATTGTATTGTATTGTATCATTTTATTTTAATTTAATTTTTAAAATATTTTATCTCAATTTGTTTTGCTTTTTAAGCCCCCTGCAGGTGTTGCACCATGCCCAGCAGCTTCCCAGCCTTTCCTCCTGTCAGGGGCTCCTGTTCCTTGCAGCACCATCCCAGCCCCATGCCACATCCCCTGGCTCCCTGGCGCCTTGGTGGGCACTAAATACAAGATTTGGGCTGTTTTGCAGTAAATCCCCTGCACCCAGCCCTGCGTGGGGCGAGATGGGTGATGCCCTGTCCTGGGTGCAAATCCCCTATCCCACCCCAGGGGGTCAAGGGAGGGTCAGGCTCAGAAAGGGTGATGGGGCTGCCAGGAAGAGCCGTCACTGCTGAAACCGCAGCCCATGAGCAATAGGAAAACACGCGGGCGAGGGGACGGTGCCACAGTGTCACAGCTTCCTGCTCCTGACACACGTCCCTTCACTGACCCCGCACCAGGGCAGGGCTGAGGGGCACCAAAACCTGCACCCACCACACCATCCCTGGCCCCAGTCAGCTGGGGGAAGGCAGCACTGCTCTCCACCCCTCCCTTTCTTGGGGGAGCTTTTTGGGGTGGCCAGGCCAGGGCAATGCTTGGTTCTCTGGGGCAGCAGCCACAGCCCCACCTTGCCCACGGCAGCCCAAGGACTGTAGAGTTTTGGGGGACTTTTTATTTTTGTGGCTGTCTGAAGGGTGAGAGGGTGTTGGGAGGAGGGGTGGCTGCTTCAGCACACACCGACTTCCTGCCAGGCCTTATTTTTAGCAGCGCCAACCCCTGATAACCCAGAGGTTCAAGTGAAACTGTGAAGTAAGTA